CACCGACAGATATACCTCCAGAAAGTCGAACTTCGCGCTATAACCTGCGCGATCGGACGACCACTGCACGCTCCTCCACACGAGGTCGTGCAGTCTCTCGGGCGAGCTCATCAAGACAAGAATCCAGCTCCAAACGGACCTCCCCAATAAAAACCAGGGGGTCCAAAGCTGCTCCCAGCAGGCGAGAGTCGAGGAAGGTCGTGAAGTCTGTACGCTAGGAACGTAGTCGAACGGCTATCTTCAACAACAGCCCGTGTCCTACTCCAGGGGGGCATTCTCCAGGTGTGATATTTCGGTGTCTTCGCTGCATATATATTTCACGGGTTCCACACGCCACTTGTACCTGTATTCGCACTTCCATCGACATGCCCATATTTTATTTCCTCTGTTGTACTTCTTCTCCCGACCTGTAATTCGTGCCTATCGACCACATTGCTACCTATTCGATCTTCGCTTCCCCATGTCTACCGTGATACGAGTTGGATCTTGCCAGGAGATATTATTTGTGGTGGATGAGATCCGGGATTGTAGCCATACTAGATACGCTGACTAGCTTTGCAACTCCGCTTTCGCAATGAATACAACAATTACATGCTCGTTATCCATACTAGGTAGAGGTTGACACAATAACAAGGGTATCCGACATGGTAGAACAGTGCTTCTCTATCACAAGAAATGTCCAAGGAAAAAAGGAACAGAAAGAAATCTAGTGCCTATGGTATCATCTAACCCATTGCCTGTCCACAGCCATCCGTAGAACATCTCCTGCATTCTTCGGTCCTAAAGACAGGGTTGCTTTCGCGGAAGCTTGCGTCTTTCTTCTACCCTTACGCTCAACAGGAGGCTTGCAAGCAGCCACACGCTGGCCCAGGATCGCCTCGACCTCACGGAGACATTCGTAGCATTCTCGCTCGGTGAATGTGGAGGGATTTGACGCTGCGACGCTCTTCCGCGAGGCAGCCGGTGGTCGCAGACGTTTGGAATGCAGGAATTTCAGGGAAAGATAGTGCAACCACTAATCGTGCCTCGTGAACACCCGCGGCATGCGATAGAGAAAATACACACCATGACGTTTGTTAGCGGGCAGTAGCCCTCCCATGAGTTGTTGTTATGAGTCTTCATTAGCCGATAAATGTCGAACTGATAATCCCCTGAAGATAGTGCTAATAATTAGTTGCATTAGGCAGGTTTGGGCAGCAAGACGCTGACCTTCGCCCTCGAAAATTTCATCGTCAAATGGGGTCCAGTAGGTCGTGAGGCCATTCCCGTCTCCAGTATCCATGCGAGCAAGGCCCAGATCAATGATGGTGGCTTCGACACCATGTATTATATGGTCCATTGGTAATTTTTTGGAAGAGGGCCGGCGTGCCGGTTGTGTAGCAATAGGTAGATTTTTCACAAGAATCTGTCCCCAGTGCAGATCACGGTGCTATCGGTATACGATTAGAGGTCTCCCTGGAGGATCAAGATCAAACCCACTTCAAAGCAAACGAGATCTTCCGCTTCAGCTAGCGTACGCGTTACTTGCCAAAACAAACTGCAGGCTTGCCGCCAGCCAGTCTTCGAAGCGTTCTGGAAAGTATATGCCTCTAGGTCGGGGCCGCCGTTGGGTAAGACGATGATCGCATATACCTGTGATACGTTGAAGGTATCTCCATGAAAAAGCATCAGTTTAGCCGCCGTCGCAACCAGATGAGATCCACTTACCCGGCCTGATGCTCTCACTACCTTTCTTCTTGTTGTATTCGTCCCACAAATCAAGTAATAATGACGGATACCTTCCGCGCACGATGTACGTTCGGAGGAGCTGAATGAAGCCTACACACATTTCACCTGCAGCGCGAGTCACGATGATCTCCTTCAAGACATCTTTTGCATCGCTAGGCGCGGGGGAGTCCATATCGTTCTCAGCGCTATTCTTTGTCTCATTCCGCAGGGGGATTATCTTCAAAACTACATTCCCTATACCAAATACCTCCGAATATGACGCCTCGCCAATTTTCTCAAAGCGCGCCAGCTCAGCGTCATCTTCAGCACGTACGATCGCATCAAACGGAAACATTTCGATGAAGGCGGAAAATTCATGTGGTGTGGTTTGAGAGCATTCCTCGAGGAGTGGCCGCAAATGAGGGGGTGGAGGGGATGCGTACGTATCAAAGTCATCAACAGCTTCAAGAGTAGCGGGCGAGATGGCGAGCTTTGAAAAGTCGATAGAGAGATCAAAATCGGTTGGGGTCGTAGGTGAAGGTGGGGATGGCGGCGCAGGAAATCCGGGAACACGTCCAGGACGACGTCTGATCGGGGTGAGCTGTCGGCGTTTTGAATGATCTGCGACTGGGTACGGTGCTATCGGCTTTCGTAGGTGTGCATAATCGAGCTCTGAGGTCCACGGGATAAAAGTGGGCGCTGGTGGGGGCAGCTGGGTATTTTCTCGAATTCTTGGGATCGGAGCGGCCGGTTCCCGAGAGCGTGGTGGCTTGGGTATAGGTTGAGGCGAGTCAGACGGTATGAGGGCGATAGGCTGACATTTGGATCCTGCTTGTTGTGACCGAGTGGGACGTTCTGGGCGCTCTTTGAGGGACGCGTCAAGACTGCGTAGCTTGCCAACTGGTGTGGTATCTGCTTGATCAGAGTCAGACTCGTCAGAAGATATGACTATGGGACGCGCTCTACTCCGGCCTAGTTTTGAAGGCTTAGGGAGCAACGATTTGTCGTCGGTATCAGGAGATATGGTTAATACGCTGGGAGGTCGCGCAGATCTGCTATTCTCTACTATTTTGCGTGTCGCCTCAGTCACCTTGTTGACTTGGATGTCTGATCTAGAGACTCGCCTCTCCTGGCTTAAGCGATGGCCTCGTGCGTCCAACACGACAATGTCCACGTCGATGAATGGAGAAGAAGGTTTCAGTGGTGTGCTTTTCCCGACAGTCTGTTTCTTTTTCTTGCGCGCAGGAGGAGCTGCCGCAGGTGAGCCCGGAACGTTGACAGAAACCGCACTCAGAGGATGGCGGGCGGGCATGCTCACTGCTACACCTGCGACTTTGGCCACTTTAGGTGACTTGCGCAATCTCTTCCCAAAGGGCGAGGCAAGCTTCCTGGAGATCCCTGGTGAGTCCGAGAGAGCGGAGAAAGCATGTTTCTTTCTGCGATTGACTGGGCGGGAAGGTGAGACAGACGAAACCTGCTCGGGGCCGTTCTTCGCAGTGTCGCTCTTTTTCACTTGTTCCCGCTCGTCCGATGCGTTAACGATGCGATGCGCTCGTCGTCCGTAGGCATATACCTGTTTTGTACGAGTGCTGAGCATATTTCCTCAATTTTGACCGGATAATATAATAGGATTGGATGAAGATAGGCGAGCAACACAGCGGCGAAGGTAGACTAGGGAACTCGGGAGGAGCTCAAAACGCGCGTTGAACGCGCGACGCGTCTTTCCACGTGACCCCGATGGGCCAATGCGAAGAACTCGGTACTACTAGTACTACTCGAGCATCGAGGGCTAGTCCATTGACTCAGACCCATCATGGCCCTTCCCCCTCCCTTGCGAATATCTGTCACACCCGCCGAGCTTGAACTCATTGCATCTGAACAGCTGGTCGAGATTGTGCCTCTCGTTGCAATGGAACGTACCGCATTCATCTCTGTACAGTAAACTCGGCGCACTAGCTCGGACGAGAAACACTATCTGACATGATTATTCAAGGGCGCGTACGGTCCTCTCCGCCCACCAACAAAATGCAAAGTGCCGATCTGGATGGCCACAAATCTCAAGCTGAAAAAGAAGTGCCACATCGTCCCGCCGGATTGGCTCAACGTAGGTGTGTATGCTCTCTGCTATTCTATTGTAGATTCATTCACCGTACATCTAGAATTTCTACAGGAACGACTGAACAGAGAAACTAGCGTGCCTGAATTCAGCGAGTTGCCTTTTCGTTTTGCTGAGATCGCCAAAGTCCTGCTGGATGTGTATGTGCTCAAATAACTGATCCGGTTCAGACTACTCACACAAATACAGTGCATCCGACGATGTATCTAACCCAGACAAAATTCGCTCACTGCTGCAGGACATCCGCGAAGCGCGACAGGCCAAGAGCAGGGATGGTCTATCCGTCCTCGACCACAGCGAACTCAGCGTATGCATATACACAATCTCACTGCTGGCAGTCTTTGATCTATTAACCCTCTTCTGTGCCTCGCGGTTAGCTTCCAAATCTGTCCTCCATGGAAATCAACGAGATCCGACCGTTCTTCATCCGCTCGATGGGTATCTTAACAAAGCTCGTGCGAGAACCGAACCCACAGCAAATGAATCAACTCGAGTAAGCATCGACAATGTCAGGTTTATAATTCATTTGCAAAACTATACTGTACATATCTGTAGCGCTATAGTTATACTTCGAATAATCCAGGAGTCTTGGAATCCACATAACCAAAAAACATTGTCTCAGCTAGAGCTTGCAGCCGTCATGACTTGTTGATCAACAACTGTTTCAGCTCCTCCATTTGGTCCTTCAGCTGCCTTATCTCCGCCACTAACACCGCTTCGCTCGACTGCGAAATTATATAGGTAAATTATCAACAAGGAAGGTACCGGCACCTACGTGTGTGGTGTCCGGGAAAGCTTGCACGAGTTTATCGAAGGAAACTTTACTAATTTCGAGCCCGCGGGCAGCGTCATCGGGATGTACGTCAGGATTCTCGAATTCCGGTGTAGGCTCCCCGCCCTCGTCCGGGTGGCTAAACCAATCCTTAATCCACCTATTCTTCGACGGCTCTAGCTCGGCCTCATAGAGTGCGATACCCGACAGGGGAATAAAAAACAACACGAGCATAACGTAGCGATTGATCTGCAACGCAGTGCAGTGTTTTTAAACAAGTGGCTTTCCAAGACTGGAAAATAGGAGGCTTGCCTTGGCATAGGTCTCTGTACTCACGCAAGATCTAGGTGACACTATCAGAACAATATACGAAGCTCAGTGCAGAACGAAGTCAACTTACTCAAGCGGAGCGACAAAGAAGATCTCGACGAGATTGAACGGGGCAGGATAGACGTAGTCATCCGGAGCTCTGATCATACCGCCCACTTTTCCAGCAAAGTAGGTAAGATATTCCGCGGCAGCGTCGCCTACGACCTAACGATCCATGATTTAGTCCAACTAAAACTTGTAGGATAGCTCGATCAGCCACTGACATCATCGTACGCAGAGGAAAAGAGAGAGATGAGGACGTTTAGAAGAATCACCGCCGTCGCGACGTTCCAGCTACACATTGAGTTTGGTTTGTAGATCTCATTAAGCTTATTTGGACGACGCACAAATAGAACAAGATTTGACCAGAAGAACTGACATGATACACATTAGTAGATGCCACTAGTAAAGGTAGACAAAAGGTATACCTCGCTGAAAACATGTCATAATTCGGCGACCTTACGTCGACAAGAGAATATGGTTAGTTGTAATCGACGATATTAAAGACGATACTATGCGTACTGAAGCAATGCCTGAATTAACGCATGAATGACCTGGGATGTGGCTCAAAATCAGTGTAAAAAGACCATGCAACACGCACTGCTGACCTCATATGGATGATCACTTTGCCCATCCGCCGCATCTAGAGCATAAAGGCCTTGCATAAAGCCAACTCCCAGGATAGCCAGCAGCTAATTGGAAGTAACGGTGATAGACTATGAGCAAGTCGAGACTTGGGGGCTCGGGCTACTCTCTCACCCCGAAAAATATCCCAGATTCCTTCAGCATGCGTGCGACGCAGATTTGCATCGTCCCAACTGGTCTTCAAGCCCAAATAATTAGCATGCAAAGTTGCAGATGCAGATGCATGACCAACTGGAATCCGTCAAACACCGGGACCAGCTCTGTTCGAAGTTCAGCTCAATATTGCGGATCCAAAAGACATGAGCACTCACTCATCCTGTGCAAGTATCCCCAAAGTATGAGACACGACTAGTGAACAGACACAACATGTCCTAGACGAGGCTCACCAGATCAGAGGCGCGACGAAACTGAGGCATTGAAAGCTCCGCGTGCGCAAGATCACGTCATTCGGCGCGGACGACGCAATGCCCATCACGCGGAGAACGAACGCCGCAACGAGAAGTGAATCGGTGATAGTTGATACAACATCCCAAAAGCCGAGCGAGCGCCAGGAGACAAATAGAAATAATTTGTAGACCTATGTGGAGAAAGAATCTGATGTTGTAGACTGGAAAAGGGATGGCTTGCATTTACCTTGTGTATGTCTAGACGAACTCGCAATTCAGAGATGCAGAATAGGCACATGAGTGGACCCTAACCTTCAAAGGAGAGCGACAGTGCTAGCACATATAAGAAAATTTCCCATATGTCCAGCGCAGAATGGTCGGGGTTCAACTTGTCCAGAGGCTCGCGCACTGGATCGTAGGTCAGTGTGTTAATTCATCATTGCACCACACAACATACCTGCTTGTGAGTATGTGATTAGGAAGAAAATCCACACTAAAATACGGAAGATGTTTTGGTATCTGCGGTACAGATAATTAGGCTAGATGTCATCTAATTAACTCGACATGTGTTGGGCTCACCTGGGAACAGAAAGGCGGCCGGGGTCGAAATGAACCCAGAATCCATGATATCCATACTCCTTGTATGGGACGACTAATTGTAATGAATGATTTTGGCGTATCTATACGAAATTCATGGACGTACAATCGACATCGTGATCGTCCCCGTGTTTTTGCACGAGCTGACCTCGCCATAAATAATTGACCACTATCAAGAATCAGCAGAAGTTCTGTAAATAGAGTGCATAAATTGAATCATTACCATCCTGGGCTTCTGTCGATGATAAGAAGATCGTGCTGGGAGCATCAATACATACAGCTCTGGTCTGGGTCTCTAAATCTGGGCACTTACCAATGTGAATCAAATGCAGCTTCGAGAGCACTCGATTTCTCGCTGTAATCATCGTCAATTTCTTTGTGTCTGAAGCGCGTCGATAGCATAGGCACGACCTTGTCGGAAGGTGCCTGATGGACTACTCGGCGAGCTAGGACTTCACAGGCGACAGCTTCAGGAAGGCGGATGTGCGATGAGAATTCAGATATGCAGATCCTGCAAGCAGAACAAACATGCCTCTGCCATGATTCTCGCCCCAATCTGCTGGATTGTTGGTGGCATCCCACAAGAACTCCTTTCGCGCTTGCAGCAAACAGTATGGCAACTACGGTACCAATGCTTACTACATTAGAGATCACACTTTAAATCTTCTTACAACATCTGTGAAGTCGCCGGCGGCAGCGACATACGCGTCGACGACTTGGGACGTGATAACCCGACTGGTAGGATCGGCGATATTCTCCGGAGGGACTTCAACGGGGAGTAGTCGAAGCGTAAGTGCCCGGACACGCCTAATCAGACCTGGAAAATGGTAGTCAAGGAAATATCGAAAAGCTGAAAGGCCAAACACACTAGTGACTGTGTCGGGAGAGGGATGACGGCGCGCGCCGGTCCCCAAATGAAATGCCTCCGAATCGTCTTGACCGTTCGTATATGACAATTCAGACATACTGGATTACTTTTCCGTAACAAGTGATCCAGAGGTAGGCGATAGGTAAAGCACGCGACGCAAGTAATGGGGAAGAGGATAAGCAGGGGCCACAGTTACAAGGCTGCCGAGCTCTGGCCAAGGTGACACTGACGACGCAATGCATCACTCCCGCATCGGCGATTCGCGAATGAATATCGCGCCTGTCACGTGAGCGCATACTGCGTGGCCCGGAGTCTGCCGGCCTCTCCCCGTTGTGCAGTGTGTCGCCGGCAGCGCATTCGACGTATATTGACACATCATGCCAGTGAGTGCTGCTTGTTATCTTCCCGATGCAGGGGACTGAACACAGTTCCATAGGCCTATCATTCAGCCCTCAACGAAGAGCCCGATGTTCGCCAAGTAGGGAACATGTCCATCCTACCCATCAAGAGCAAGTTCCGTGGCCCAGCACCACAGGGTACGCACCATTCATCCCACACCACATATCCACCATTCTAATTCTTATGCTGCTAGCGGAACCTTCTCAGGCTGACATAATTGACGAAACACTCGATCTTTTCCGAGCCAACTCCCTCTTCCGCAACTTCGAGATCAAAGGCCCCGCTGACCGCCTCCTCATCGTCATCATCCTCTTTGTGTCTGACTGTCTTGCCAAGATCGGCACGTCTCGCACGGTGCCCAGTAAAATCGAGGCAACCAAATCGCTGAACACTCTTGCCGTAGACAACTTCCCGGTCCCCGGTGATGCTACGTTCGCGCTCAACTCGCACTATGCGCCTCCAGGGAGCAGGGCAGATGCCGGTAAGTATCCCAATTGGTATCACGTAAGGGGTTCTTTAGGGTTGACTGATATAATTCCAGATTATCTCCGAACATATCTTGTGCAAGTGCGGCAAGAGCTTGCAGCCCGCCTCGTAGAAATCTTGTATGCAGATGGGTCTGGTAAGCCCAGCAAATGGTGGATGTCGTTCCAGAAGAGGCGTTTCATGAGCAGGAGCCTCGCCACGTAGAAGGCGTCAAGCTGCACTGTACAACTACAATCGCGGTACGAACACGCACTCGCTGTAACAACCTCTACACACGACATGTATTCCAGTATGATGACCAGGAGTCGCGACTAGGCGAATATAGGTACTCTACTTCCTTCTTCTCTCGTTTGGATTTTTCTTTCCATATCCAACGACGGGCATGTCGCCGTCCATACCCCGGCTCCTAACGCTTCTCCCCTTGCCACTCACACCTGCGCTCATGATCTCCGGCACCCAATCAGGGTCCATCCAGCTGCTCACCACTGTGCCAGCCGCACCAGACCCTGCTCTTTCGCTCGCTGCTGTTAGCATCCGGCGCTCCTCTCGTTCGCGCTTCCCATCCGCACGCTTCTTAGCGCGCACCCACGCCAGTTGATCTTCTCGCAATACTAAACCCTCCCCGGGCCCGGTCCTGGCGGACCCTGGCTTCGGGGCAGGGATCGAGTAGATTGTACCACGGGTCTTGTATTGGAAGTTCTTTTTTAGGTGTACTTGCATTGCGGGAGTGTCCGGGCCTGCGTCCGGTGAGGAGATGGTAACAGAAGCGCGCAGTAGAGACGGATTCCCGCACGACGGGCAGAACTTGCGCGAAGAGTCTTTACAGATTCTGCCACATGTGAAGCCATGAGTGATCAGTACACGCCAAGCGGGTTGATACATACTTGAAGCAAGCATGGCACCTTAGTACCCAGCTTTTTACTCGCTGAATGCGCTTTCCATCCACGCTGACCAACCCCAGCTTCATTTGTAACAGCACGTTCTGCATAGCAAAATCTGCTGTCATACATCCAACTGGGATCTTCTCCTGTTTTCTCTTCCCTTTGGAGCCCGTTGCGGAAGGCAGGAGATCGAGGGCACGGGATTTGTGCAGAGCGACATTGGAAGGCGTAATCCACTCGCCTTCGCCATCATCGGAGTCCGATGGGTCATCATAAAGTGGTGGGTTGTCCACTGGTTCATTTGTCGGATTGGGGCCGTCAGATGGCGATGAGACGTCTTGAATAGCCGGCGAGTGCTGGTGCGACGATTCGTTCGATATTCGATGTAACTCAACATCGAGGGGTTCTCTTGATTGATCATCGCCTGGACCTGCACCCTCATACACTAATTCTGCCTCGTTACCATTTTGAAGCTCGACGTTTTCACTATCAGACGAAACTTCGGATGCTGGGGGCTCTTCCGCAGAGTCATCTTCCGACATGATATGTCGCTCAGATTCGTGGTCTATATCTTTTCCGTGATCTATTGTTGTGGATTGATCATCCAGTGAAGATTTTGGAGGTAGTAGCGTAGCTTCTACATTCTGCGAAACCTCCATCATCAAAGGGTATACAGGAAAACTGCAAATCACACACTTCACCCTTCTTCCTCTCATTCTCCTCCCTCGTAGTTTTCTCTCGAGTGTCCAGTGCATAGGTGAGAGCTAGGATGCATAAATCGGCGTGCGAGAGAACTGAGTAGTCGCCGGTCTTCTTCGCAAACTGGATGACTATTCGGAGATGAGACATATCTCTCCAGGCGATTGGGTTACGCACCGTGTGCCAATGATGTTGGATCAGGCCCTTGCACCTGTATCTGTACCCCCGCGGACAAACCTAGACGTTCAAAGTGTTCCCGTGCACGTTTGTCCTTCAGCTCATCGAGCACTTGAGGCACTGTGTAGTACGTTTCTGCAAGTCCGCGCAGGGGAGATAATGAGAGAAGCGGCCCTGCATCGAGGACGAGGTGCTCGCAGGCTGGTTGTGTCGTTGAGTTCGCCATGAGTGTCGGCCGCAACTCATCCTCGATCAAAAATCCTGCCCCCTATCACGTGCAAAGGTGGTAGCTTCTCGATCAAATTCACCGATCCGAATCGCCCTTGAGCTTTCTCAGCTCGGACTCCCTCCTGGCGCCGTCCGAGTCTGAAATTCATGCAATACTTACACACCTTTGCCGTTTGAATGCATTGTGAGCTAATGCTCCCAGAAGAGATAGTGATACATTTTATATTCAACTACATCCTAATCTGATTGTATAATATTCAAAAATTTCACCAATCTTCTACAGCAACTCCTTGAGCACCTCGACGATCTTGTCTCCAATCTCAGTCGTCTTGACGGTCCCACCAAGATCAGCCGTCCTCAGCTCAAATCCACCTTTGCTCTTTTCGTCAAGCACTTTGCGGACCGCATTCTCGATCGCCTGTGCGTAGTGATCAAGCCCAAGCGAGTACCGGAGGAGCATCGCAGCGCTCAGAATAGTACCGATGGGATTCGCTATTCCTTTTCCAGCGATATCCGGAGCTGAACCGTGGATGGGCTCATACAAACCTGGTGTGGGCTGGAAGTTGGGCGACAGTGCGTCAGCAACAGACGGTGCACCGGCCAACGATGCAGAGGGGAGCAGGCCGAGAGAACCGGGAATGACGCTAGCCTCATCGGAAAGACTGGAAAAACTAGTCAGGGAAGATCAAAAGAAGTACTAGACTATTCACTGACATGTCCCCGAAGAGATTCTCGGTCACAACGACTCCATTCAGCTTCCTGGGGTTTGCAACCATGACCATGGATGCAGAGTCAACCAACATATGATCGAGTTGCAACTGGGGATATTCCGACTGCAACGTCTCGACGACAACCTTTCTCCACAGACGCGAGCTTGCAAGAACATTGGCCTTATCGATTGAATGGACTGGCAGCGGGGGGTTGGTTGACAGGGCAATCTGAGCTGCGACACGAGTGATGCGCTGAACCTCAGGAATACTGTAGATCATCGTATCGTACGCGTTGTCGTCGTCGGGTCCCAGCTCCTTTCGCTCGCCGAAGTATGCACCACCAATAAGCTCGCGGATAACGATGATATCGACACCCTGGGCGACTGAAGGCTTCAAGGGAGAATACGCGAGGAGAGACTCCGAGGCGAAGTTGGCGGGTCGAATGTTAGCATAGAGGCCGAGGGCTTTCCGGAGACCGAGCAGACCCTGCTCCGGGCGGACTTTGCTGTTGACGTCCCACTTCGGGCCACCAACAGAGCCTGGCGCAGGGGTCAGTAATTCTTCAGAACAGAGCGATTTTATCCGACTCGCACCCATCAGGATCGCATCTGCCTCTTTACATGCCTTCAGTGTAGATTCTGGGAGAGGTTGGCCAGTCTCATCAATCGCACATCCACCGAATAAATGCGACTCCAATTTGAGCTCCACGCTGGGCGAGGCTGCAGATATCACTTCTAACACCCGGGTCGCCTGCGCGATTACATCAGGTCCTGATCCAAATGTCAGATATTTGAAAACAGACATTTGGACATCAATCACCTATGCCATCGCCAGGCAACACCACTACTCGGAAGCTGGTCACAATCTCAATGAGAGATGCCCGCGTGCATTTCGGAAGCGAGCTCACGATTTCTTGGCCATGGTCGGGTCGAAGTTATGATAGGTGAATTGACAATCAAGTTGGATGCTGAGTGCGGCTAAGACACGCACTCCTTTTTTGCAGGGCCCTCAGCTTAAAGTGAGGGAACACGGAGATATGAGAGGTTACGGGATGCCGCAACGAGTCATAGGGACATCGTACTTATGCACCAGAGATATATTTGATAGTGTATTTTCACGTGATTTGACTTACGGCGTAGTCGGACTTGGAGTCTGGAGGTCAGAATGGCCAATACTGTAAAAGTTGCTCATCACGAGGGTAAAAAAGTTCCTCATTTGCTCTGAACCAACCAGCGATGAGTCAAGTAACTCATACTAATCAGAGACGACATGATCCTCTGGAAACCCTTAAAACATATTCGCGAGTTTGCTCGCGGCTTCTCTAGCATCCAACCTCTGCCTCGTGGGCTGCACACGTACAGATTGGGACATGCCTACCACTGGCTGCCCTGTCAGGGGGTCTAGGTTGCCTGCAGGAGCTACAGCGGTAGGACCGGTGACCGAGCGCACCATATGCGTACTCGCAAGGGGCGACGAAGGTGCATTCCCCAGGGGGTGTGAAACCGCAGAAAACGGCGCATGTAGTGATTCCGGTGCTGTTCTTCCTTGCATTGCAGGCGAACCGGCTCGTGGAAGAGTGGCAGTAGGGGACGACGACGATGACGAAGTTGACTTAACAAACATGGATTTCGTGCCATCCATGAGGCGGCCACCAAGCGGAGGTCCGTCATGCAAAGGTGGATTGAAAGAAGCGTGCGAGGGAATCGGAGACGACGGCCCGGCTCCTGGGGATTGGGGAGCCAGTGTGTTCTTAAAGCCACCCGTGAAAGATGGGACAGGAGATCCAGGTAATGGGGCTGGTTGCGGAGACCCGTTTGCAGCGCGGCCAGGAACGGATCCCACGGCGGGTGGAACTTTGAAAGTACCACCGGGAGCAGCAGACGCAGGACGAGGAGGCTTAGAGAAGTCCTCTAGTGGGGGAACAAATGACGGCCGCGGCACTCCATTGACCTTGATGGGAATGTGTTTCTTCGCGGCATTGCTGACATCCGGCTTGAGGGCCTCCAGTTCGCGAAGAAGCTGCCGCTCGTACATGATAGACGAGCGCACATGCTCTACTAGGGCTGCGCTCACGTCATCTTTGACCAGACGTTTGTGCCTGTCCAGTGCGCGATGAAGATTCTGTGAAATGCCATCCGCTCGCTTCGCCAAAATTATTTCATATTTATTCGCCTAAATCAAATAAGCTAGGGGAATGAACTTTCAGCAATGATTGAGACATACCTCTTCCATCTCCTCGAGTGCTTCGTCAACTCTTTCCGAACGGATGTTCCCGCTGGCTTTCAACCGCTCAAGATTGCGTCGCTTCGATATCGTAGTCTTGACGGCAGCCTGGTAATCCTCCAAAACAGCTGTTCGCTGTTGTAGGGTTTCCTTAGCCGAGCGGGCATTAAGCCCTTGATAACCTAGTGTGTCTCCGACAATAACACATTCACTTATACTCTGCGCCTGATCAAGATCCGCCAAGCTATGCCATGCTCTTCCTATCTTCTGGAATGCATTGCCCAGCGGGGGGTGGGCCTCCGTGCTAGAAACATTGACTAGCTTATTACCCATTTCTGCACGATCCAAGCCGAGTGCTGTGGAATTGGTCAGAATCTACATGGAACGCCCATTGCATACGGAATCACCTTTTCTCGCCCGTGAAAGTTTGTCAATAGCCTTTGCGGCCTCGAAGAATTGCCCCTCCATTTTTGTCAACTCAAACCGAGCCCGCTGAAGCTCCTCGTCTTCATCGGGCACGCGGGGCCTAATTAGACTAAACCCACTCGATGCTTTGCGTCGCACATTGGGAGTGGGCTGATAGCCAAAATCACTCTCAACGAACGACCGAAGCTCCTCCTCGTGGATCAGAATGGGGTCCTCGCAAATTCTAGTCAACCACCTCTGGAGCATAATCCTCACTAACCGGTCATCCTCTTCGTCGGTGAGAGCTGAAGTCCGCGGAAGCGGTAAGGCGGGTATGATGGTTTGAGGTGTCGTGTGTATGATCGCCTCGTAGAATTGCTGGAACTCCAGATACGATCGCGAGACATTCCGGTAAGTGGAGCCAGTGAAATTGGCGAGGTTCGTCTGGGTGCTTCTATGTGAGCGTACACGACGCGTAAAGAGTGACTGCTACACTCGCCTGTGCGTCGAATCTTACAAGGATGTCTCTCCTGTTCCTGTCCAACCCGGTGATACGGACTCTGAGATACGGCTCCGCCTTCTCAAACGATGACCCATTAGAGCTTGTGGTTATACGCGGCGAGATGAGACCAGGCTCGGGCTGTCCATAGATCTGTGGCTCTTTTCCGTATGGCCCGGTCAAAGCATTGGCTCGCGACGTGTCAAGGTGCTGCGGTGATGGAGGTAGGTTTGAGACAGGCGTCGCTGGCGAGCGAGGGGTTGTGTGCCACGCAGGTTCGTCTGTAGGGAAAACTGAGCCCAATGGGTCAAAGGTGCTCATCGCTCAGCAAGTAGATAGCGTAGGAATCAGGATGGGTGAGGGTCGGCCTTGCTACATACAAGTGGCGCTGGTCATGAGCTTGGTGCCGCTCAGCACACAGAGTCCGACATGCCGCAATAATTTATGCAGATCGTTCACTGCACATATTGGTATTACAACATTTCATAATTACTGTTCTACACTGGCACCCCGCACATCTCTACTCTAGGATCAGAGCCCAAACGCCCACATCGTACATCCGCGTACTGTGTGTTTAGATCACCCTCAGAAAGTGTAACCACGATAACAAATTAATGAATAAGTAGGGGTGTGAATAGATCCGGATATATATGCATGACGACAATCTAACACAAGGCAGTGGACGTCATGAATGAGGCGCATCTGAAAGAGATAGAAGATGCCCCATTTTCAAAACCTTCGTCCGAAGATATTTATCCAAATCCTCTCCGTACACCTCGCCGCCACCAATCATGGTCAAGCCATGCGGCGCCCCGCTCTTGATGCCACCTTCATGGGTATCGTGCACTTCAACGCCCTGCCTCCGCTGCCAGGTCCGTGGGATCATCGGAACACGTTCAACAATTCGGATACCCTCTCGTTCCAGCGCCTGCACCTTGTCGGGGTTGTTCGTCAATAGCCGCACGCCTTCGCCAACCTCCGTACCAAGCCCCAGATCGCGCAAAATGGCGGCTGCGATCTCATATCCCCGTTCGTCCGCTTTATGTCCGAGCATCAGGTTAGCGGTCACGGTATCATGCCCGAGATCTTGCAGGTTGTAGGCGCGGATTTTAGAAAGAAGGCCAATCCCTCGCCCCTCCTGGCGGAGATATACGACCGCCCCACGTCCAGGGATGGTAGCGCATTGATCGGACAAAGACGGCGAAGGTAGGATGATAGGCTGTGCGATCTGTCGGATGGCCTCGTCCAGCTGTTCACCACAATCACACCGCATACTTCCAATGGTTTCCCCCGTAAAGCACTCTGAGTGAATACGGACGAGAGGTGAAGGAATGTGCTCTGGGGTGATAGTGGAATGTTCGGACGGCGTCGATGGAGTCTGCGATATAGAAGAAAGTCGTCCAACGTAGGCTCCTCGCGTTATACGGTCCATTTCGGTCTCGCTTTCAGACCAAACAGCATCCAGTGATCGACTGCGAATAGGAGGGATTTGCCGTGAATTGTCATCGCTGAACTGAGCGGGATCAACTACAATGGCGAGATGCTCTTTGTTGTCGTGGTTGTTATGGTAAATGTGGAGAAAGATTGGACCATGCGGGGTTGGCACCCTTGTGCGAGCCATGCATTTAACATCTAGATCCGGTGCGGTCAAGGCTGAGGGAGTATCGTTCAAAGCAACTGTGCCTGATTGTGAAGAGGTAGACGACAGTGTCTCAGAAACTGTAGCAGGGGCAGAACGTTTGTGCAAAGCCGGCGGAGGGAGGTTGTCTGCACGACGCAAAGGATCTGAAGGTGCTCTCGCCTTTCCGTTCTCCTTGTCATCCTCCGGCAACAACCCCTGATCCTTCAGCCTTTGACTCCGGGGAGCCTGCCTACTCACATACTTGAGACGAGGTTTCCGGTCCTGCTTCGTCTCCCCGCGCCATTGTGTCCAGTCGTAAGCCCCTTCTGCTCGAGGATCGCCCACAGCAGGAAAGAAGTCGTGCGCATAATGGTTCCGGGTGACGTGCGGTCCGTATGCGGCTGCGGTCGCCAGCAATAGTGGATCTAGGTCAGAATCCCTCCTTCGAATCCCATGTTTCGTAGCAGGCAAAGGCAGGTCCGGTGCTGTTAGCATATCCAGGAGTGCGAGGTCGGAGACGCCCTCCGAAAGACTCTTGTGGAGAGCCATGGACACTGGAGCTAAAAGGGTGAGGAAACTAGAAAGCAGGGGGGATTGAGCACAGCAGGAGGGGAAATAGGAATGAAAGCCGTCCGTGGGCTTTAAGTATACATTTCGCGGGTGCGCGCCGGATGGCGTCGGACTCGGGTGAGCTGTAGGCGCCAGCGGCTTTCAGATCGGATCTCACGTAAGGCGATGTCGTGGGATTTGTCGCTTCGTGCCGCCAATTCTCGACATCGAAAATGAATGTCCGATTACGCTCTGAGTCATTCTTGCCTATTTTCTCAACGGTTGTACATGTATCTCCTCGTTCATTTGGAAAGGGTATCGGGTGCGCTAGCGGGCTTGTGAGTATCCACGGGACAACTGTCTCAGGTCTGTGTGACCAATCTCATGACTAAGGGAACCTTGCTAACGGCGGTGGCTGTTACAGATCATACTACTGTGCTAATGCACACTACTTACGCCCTGACTGTATGCCCGGCGTCGGCTTCGAGAATGGCCGGTTTGAATGACATTGGGCTCTAACCGTTCTGGAGGGAATGCCTCCATTATTAACGTGAACGACTAGACGTTCCTTACTGCTTAGCCCAATGACTGGTAGCAGATGAAAATGGCTGCTGCGATCATGTCGGAGGTTAGTGAAAATGCTTATTTGACCTAGCGAACAAGACTGTATCTTCATTTTTCTCAAGCATGGCTGACTAGCTATCATTCCGTACTATGACTGTGATGCAGAGTTCGCAAGACGGATCGGACATATTAGCGATGATGTGAACGGCAAGGTGTAAGAGCGAAAATTTGCCAGTAGGTCAAGAATGTTCTAGATCAACTTGTTGATACGTTCGAATAGCAACTCGGAGTCTTGAACGCACTTGATCATGACAGAGTGATTGTCCAAGAAGCACATGCGACTAAGTTCTAACGCTTGTTACCGGATCGTATAAATTCCGAGCATGCGTGGAGAAGATTCAGCAGAGTTGTGTAAGCGAGGAAGGCATTTTGGATGGGATCAGGCGCCCTATTATGCATCATGCTGTGCAAACTATACACATGGCGTGATCATGATGGATTAAATCTTCTCATCCAGCCTTGAATCAAGCACAACTCGGGGCATGATTAAATGGAACACAACCTTGGCAAGAGTCGACAAACGCGTTGCCGCCAATCACATGACCGATTGCCGCGACCGCGATTTGCAGGACGCGTTTAGCTCTTCATCTTCATGACAATGCGTAAGTATTGTGCGCATAGCGGCACAGCCTAGTTTGTGATCCGTAAGTACCGCCATGGGTTTCTCGCGACCATGACCGAGAAACTAATAAATCAGACACAGGCCTAATTTCCCAAATTCATCCAGGATGAGCCAGGATACAGGCAGCAGGATATCGGTACCTGGCTCGATTACTGATGCTACCACTTCGGCTGGGTAGGAATACACTAGTGCCGTTTGAAGACGTGTCTTATATTCTGAAATATTCAGTACCCAGGACTCGGAGCTCAAAGCAAAAGTCATCAGGGTAATGGCGAATACTATGAATGGTTGCCTGACAGAGCTGGGATATCATCCTGATATTTATGCACAGATGAATGCAGTTCACGAGTGGAATATTCGGCTCAGGGATGAGAATGCAAAGCTATTAGACGACAATCGGAGTTTAGCACAGCTGATAAGCGTGCAAAATGAGCGACTCACGAAGGAGTCATCGAGTAGCCATACTGTACCTGGCGTCAATGAGCTGCAGAGAAGGATTCAGGCGTTGGAGGTGGATCGGCAAGCAATGCTGACACAACGTCACCATACGTAAGTTACCAAGCCTGTGATCTTTCTCAGTGTCTGATGAAAGCTTTCCATGTCCCGAAGAATGAATGAATTGTTATTCCTCAGGCACGAAGTTGCGCGGCTACAGCAGATCACTTCTCCTACCTCGACAAATCCACATCCGTACGTCGTGCCTCCTCCCTTTGTTCCAGCTCTCAATGGAGCCGTCCCACGTCTGTCGCCGTACGGTAATTTCATTTCACATACATCCAGTGCTGTATCTTAACCCGCTTCTTATCTAGGTCCTGGATTTCCAACGGTACAACACCTAGGAAGGCATAGACCGCCTCTACCAGCCATTGATACGGCTATCACCTCGTCAACAATGGAACGCCGGCACTCTTCAAGTGCTCGAGCTAGTCCAGTTTCGTTCTTTGCTAGCGGCTCTCGACCGGCATCAGCATCGTCTCGAATTGGAAGTATATCAAAGGAAGCCTCACGGATGGGATTAGAAGAGCAGCGAGAGGTTGTCATCGACACTATACCTGCACCCGTCAATGATGACATAAATGTTGAGATGATCGATTTGGTTCACGACAGCGGAGCCGAATGTGAAGAGAGGGCGCCGAAAAGACCCCGTCTGGAGACCGAGAATGACGTTTTGGAGGCTGATATCCTCCAGGATTGTGTCGAGGCCGGTTTCGACGATGATGAGGAGGACGAGACAAGCGGGAAACGCTGGTGCCGGATGTGCAGGTACGTCCAAGTCATCATGTATCCTCACACCTTCATTTTTGAGACAATCGAATACAGGTCACGTCACTTGACGGGTGTTGTTGAAGAAGCTCCAGAGCCTTTTGTCAATGCAAGCGTGGAGGAGCTTGTTCAGCACTGCGAACGCGAACACCCGAAGGGATGGGAATCTCTGAAGCAAAGCATACAAGCACAGACCGATTCGGAATAGATTCTGAAATTTTGATGCCATCAAGCAGTGTACATTATCCAGCGTTATGAATCTATGGATCTGCGTCGACTAATTCACATGCAACTTGTACACGCAGACGCATGCTGCTCCATTCTGTTAAGTGTTCAGATATTGGCAGCCATTCCGATACTCTAGCAGCCTCGTTGGTCGCCCTTATCAAATGCGACCGCCATGTTTGAGCATCTTGATGCTGACTACTGGTCAAATTTTGAATTGCCTGAGGTGAAATCACTTCAAGCTGACAGCGTCCGACTTTTGCTTTTCGCTATCCATCATATACGGTATGAGTATCACCAGCTTGGGCGCTCCAGATGAGGCTATACAAGGACCTATCCTTGTACAAGGTCTCGTTCAATACCTGTTTCAAGGTAGGCAGATGTCCCCTCGCCCCAGATCCACGCAGGAAGGTATTAATTCCCACAAAGGTGTTATATTGTCACAGGTGAGTCTGGCATATATTTACTGTTGAAATGTCGCCCATCTTGCTATAGGGAATGAAGTTCTGGGCGCGATGTGCTGATGACCCATGGGGTCTGAAACTCTACGTAACGGGCTTGATCTTTTCGTCCATGTGCGTGCAATTCTTCTCGAATACTGCCTCCCTATTCATGAACTGGCTTTAAGCGTGCAGACGGCCCTCGAGACCTACAAGGTTTGGCTTGAAGTAATCATTCGCAGGCACTGGGTCAGTGAGGCGCCCAGCGTCAATGCAAACGTCTGATACCTTATTGATGACAGTGGATCAGCCCGCTACATTGGTCAGAGTTTCTATTAAACGGATTGATCTGCTCGGCCTGCGAAGCGTTTCTTATCCGAAGATGCTGGAAGGCTCGTAAAACATTTCCGTCTTGTCATAGAAGACGTAAAAACAGTAATATCTCAGGCAACCAAGGGAAACTACTGGGTGCTCCTCACATTAGGTGGCCTGGCTACTGCGACATGTGTCGCCAATATCTTTCTGGCAGGTTTTCTCTCCTCGGTCTAAAATTAGCCTACTGACTAGGCTCATTCCAGGCGGTACGTATTGGCGAGATTATTGGAGCACATACTGGTTATAGGGATGTCAGTACATCTTATATCTAGATATTAGGGACCTCTAATCTGATATTTGTGTTCTACACTAGCCTCTAACCGCAAGCATCTGGGCCTTCCCACTCTGGGTATTTGGCTCTCTTGTGCTCGCGCTTTCTTTGACGACATTGTGTGCGTAGCAGTCAGTGTTGGATAAATAGTCATCCGCTCATATCTGACTTGATTCTTACAGTGTCGGTCTTTCTCTGGAACGCTAGGACTGGGCTGGATTATCTGGATAAAACCCTGAAAGGTCTCATGGCTCTTACTTGGGAGACCGCTGCACTACCGACAATTTGCATGATCCTTGCGTCGTGCCTTTACCGCCGAGAGGTGGGTACAGTATCAGTATCAGTATGTCGTACAATCTTCATTTCGTGCACAGTTTTCCGGCGCTCGGCATCTCGATCTCTTCTTCATTCTGCTCACGGGAAAACTATACACGCTGGGCATCTTGCGCACTCTCAATTCGCGCACTCGGTTCCGTGAGCGTCTTGTTTCCACTGATCAAGGGCGGACAACACTCAGCAAGTTCGAATGGAGGATGACATCCCTACCTAATTCCACAGTTAGCCAGAATGTAAGCATATGCATTGCGCGGCGACCGAATATATGCTGACAAGATTCAGCAACTCGCGCCGAACGAGGTTCCTATACGTGGATCGCCGTCTCTGCCTATCATCGAAAGGACTGTCGGCACCTTAAGCATCGCATCGCTGGCGATCGGCCTCGACGACATCTCGGGAGAAATTGGTGTACACCAGAGACCAGATTTGTATAGTCGCTCCCATTCTTCTCATATTCCACTTCCAGCCCCGGCGTGATTAGTGGGTATCTCATGTATTATCTTTTTTCTGTTCGTGTATACACACATATGTGGTACGCCGATATACATGGCGAATTACACTGCGATATCCTTTGCAAGCTTATCAAGCAGAATCGAGACACGCTTAGCCTCAATCTCTGCCAGAGTGCTGTTGTTTTCGAGTGTCAATGCTTCCGTGACTGAAGGAAGCGTGGTCGCCCCGTATCCTGCAAGAATACAGAGTCAGTACAATCATATAAAATGTAAAAAGAGACATACCGAGGTACTTCCCAGGAGCAACCCCAAGATGCTTGTACCACTCACGCTCTGTCAGTCCCTTACCCGAGATGAACCCTCGTTCGAACGCTCTCAGCTTTGCGTTCGCGGTCTGTACACGCACCGCTGCCCGGTGAAGCTTATCGATTGGCCGCGCGAGCTTCAAGTGGTGATGGATCGCGTGAACAACTTTCCTGAGCCACTTCGGGAGATGGCGGTGGTTCGGCGATTTGGGGGGCATTGGGAGCTTTTGAAGGAGCTCCTTCAATTTTTCCTCAGCCTCAACTTTCTCGCCGTCGAGAGCTATGCTTGCAGCTTGCAGGTTTGTGATGGAACTGCGGAGGCCGGAGAAGTCGGGGGATACAGCGAGCGAGAGCGAGGATGCTACATTCTCAACTCTGAGTGAAGGATGTAAAGGGGTCAACCCGTGTCCCTTCAAATTCATTCATTCAAACTCACTCATCAAGGTAAGTATCCAGCTCGAGAGCATATTGTGTAGTATTCAACGGTATGATGATAGCGTCGATGATCCGGAGAGCGGTCAACCCCATGTGCCTAGCCGCAGCAACCTGAAGGGCACGGTAAGCAATCCAGCAGTGTTTTCGAACAGAATTTAACGTACATGGCGGTGGAAACCGGGATCACCATAGAGTTCCTGCCAGCGCTCTGAATCGTAGACTGAGTGGTAGTGGTATACCGCGTCCGAGGGCGTATTTCCGAATCCTTGATCCATGCTAGCGATCTGCAAAATTTCAGGTCCATTCCATTAACTTTGATCTGCCCGTCCGCGCATCAATGAGATAACCCACCCCAAGGTGCTGTAAGAACGGTGTGTAATCACTGCCAGATCCCAACGGTGGGATGCCTGTCACTAAAGCCCTTGTCTGCTGTTCCGCATTGTATGTCCTGAGGAAATCCGTGTCACTGGGACCTGCGAATGGGCCAACATCCTTCGTCGCGTCCCAAAGGGACTTTCCGGGAGCGGTTGGATGGGGGACATCGAGAGCCGTCTGGCGAATGAGGTGCGCAAGCGATGGGGATCCAGAGGCGCCCCACTGTGAACCGCTTACGGAGACGTCTAGAGAAGTATGTCAGACGCGGATCGACTTTAAATCTAGTATACTGACCGATGTTCAGGTAGGCAACGACGTTTTGTGTGATCCACTCGGGGAAGTCTTCCGCCATTTCCGTGCTACCGATCAGTCCGTACTGGGCAGAATACGGTGTTTGGCTCGCTCCTAACTACATTTGAAGATTTTAGCGCACCTCTTCAGCATCCCAACTAGCTATGACGATATTCCTAAGCGGCTTCCACCCTCTCTTAAGGAGGGCGCCGAGTCCGCGGACAAGCTCATGCAAAGATACGGTCCCGGACGTAGGGTCGGCGGCGCCCATGACCCAAGCTGGAAGAACGCGTCTTAGTATGACTATATGCGTATGGTTTACTGACGGCGTACCATCACGATGGCATCCGAGGATGACAGTCTCGTTCTTGATGTGTCCTGGGATAGCCGCCATAGTGTTCCAGATGGGAGTGACCTTATTATGGACTATTTCCCCTCGTTAATGAGCTGAATCGTTTTCAAGAAGATAGAGGAACCCACCATGGTTGACCAACTTGATCTTCCTCTCGCTGCTCTTACCAGTCAGCTCGCGCGCATGTTCCGTGCTGTCGATCTCAGCCAAAAGTCGTTCGGCATTTAGCCATGAGATCGGTAAGCTCGGAATCTTCGGGATATTCTCGCCTGCCGTACGCACCGCGTCCTCGTATGCGGGGTATCCAGGTGTCGTCGGGTCACCAGGGTACGCAGAGATGAATTGTACGCTGCCACGCTGGACGGACGTTGGGTTGCGCGCGGGGCCGGCAGGGTACGCCGCGTAACCGTTTTCGACGGTCACGCTGCCATCATCGCGTAAGTCCGAGTAAATGAGAGCAGCAACCGCTCCATGCTCCTGAGCAAGTTGAATCTGCGGAGCTGAAGGTGAGGATTCGACGCACATAGACGAGCTGAAGCGCGCTCATGTGACAGCTACGAACTTTTAGACCGCGGAAATTTCCTCCATAGCGTGCGAGTACAATCTTGCCGGTAAAATTTCCGCCAGCCGCGACAACTGCATCATAATCCTCCTTCAAACCGTAGTTTACGTAGATCAGCTCGCCCTCCGCCTCGCCATCACGGCTGAGCCCGTGGAACGTTGGAATCGTGTCCTTGTATTTGCCTGCTTCCGGGTCCGCGGGATCGCCGTCCTCGATGAGGTCCGCAGACCAAACTGACGCGCCGTCAGCCTCGAGGATATCGAGACTGCGGTCGAGCGGAGTGTTCATGACGGGATAGTAGACATCAATCCACGCTGCGGGTGATTGAAGCTTGTTTATGCTGAGCGTCGCATTCCGCGACGCAGCGGTGCCGGCAGGGAAGATGGGCTCCGGGTCGGGTGGGGCGATGCCGAAATGTTCCTGGAAAAGTTGAAGGATTACTCGGGCATCCTCGAAGTCTTCGGTGGAACCTGCGAGATGCGGGTGTGTCGCGTATGCCCTTGAAGCAGCGAGAGCGCTTTCCGCAGTAGGAATAGAACTACAAGATGGTCAAGCTTAACCACGCAAGCTGAGAATAAGACACCCACAGATATAATTTCTCTATCTCCTTAGCCGTCAACCTCTCCTCTGTACGATATCCTCCACGGGTAGTGAACGCGTCAAACACCCATCCAACACCGTCACGATCGACCTCGCAGCTTACGAGACGTTTGGCTACCACATAAAGCGATACGACGACGAAGTACCACTTTGCAAATTTGAGCAGCCCGCGCGACCACGAACGCGGTGCGGCCTGGGGCTGAGGCAGGTAGTCGTCGGGGCGACCATCATCTGCCAGTAAGACATCCTTCTCGATGTCGCGAGCCTTCATGTTGTGGTGGGTCGCTGGGAAGAAAGGACAAGAGAGCATGTGCAGCAATCGCCGACCTTTAAGAGACCGTGTTGCCGATCTGGCCGGGAGAAAAAATGTAATCTACAGTCATTTACGACGCAATCCCACTCGTTTCATGACGTCGTATATTGCGATTTTTGCGATTATACTGGGGTTTTCTATCTACCATGTTTTCAATGAGTGTCGTCTGGTGTATTACTGGCCACGCAGTAAGTCGGCCTAGTTATCGTTTTCGGCGACGCTTGAGGCTTCCGAGATTACCTAATTTGCAGTATACAGTAAGTGGATCGCTTAATTTAGTCCGCTTGAAATGCTGCGGCGGTACTGCAAGCATACATAAGTGACAGAGTGTTTCCACCTGAAATATATTCGGAGCATCATAAATTCGAATTCTTTGCGTATATCTTAAAGTATTGTTATGATATTTCCACTGGAAATATGCTCTTGCGGTATGGATCGTCTCGCTCTTGTTGAATAAAGCACCACACACGAAAAAGAGGTGGGACTGGCATGGCTATCGTCTGAAGGACAATTCTTCCTAAATGTCAGCGAACGATTCTGCTGTGCTTGTCGAGTCTTCCCGATACTATCTCGATGCTTTGGACTAGCAGTGTACATTCATGCTGGCTTTCTGGGGTTAAGCATCAGCCCTGTTTGCTTGCTGTCGCTCGCCGAAAGCACATGCATTTTCCCGCTACGTATGTGATATCACAACTAGTTATGGTGCGGGAATTAACAGCTCACTGGGTCGCTGTGAAAAGTTAGCATACCTGGCAGCAGGTGCGCAAGGCCTGAGGAATGTCGCGCGGTTGCAAAGCTTGAGGTACCGCTTGAAAGCCCGGAATGCCATCGCGGACAGGCAGCTGCCGGTGTGGGAGGACTACCGAATGGGCTAGAACGTTTGTAGGGACCGTTGCCGGCAGAGAACTAGCTTGCATCTGCGGATAGTGAGCAGGTGGCGGCGCGTAGCCTCGCACCGAATCAGCCCAAGAGATCCCGGATGACTGCGTGCGTATAAGGCGGGGCCAGAATATCCCAGCACCATAATGGGCAGCTTGGGGTCTGTTTGATGGGAAACCTCGACTATCCTGACTACAGTACCCGGAGCCGTGCGACTTGGTGGGAGATGCATGGCCTGTGATGCGATGTTAAAACATAGACTAGATTAGATCGCATCCATACACGTGCAGGACTCTCTTTCCAACCAGGATGACCATTCACGTTAGAAGACAACTGAGCGATGAGCGGTTGGCTTGATGCACTCAATAGACGAGGTATGTTTTTAAGAGCAACTTGAAGCAGGATGAACAATTTGGATTTGATTTGAATGCCATACTTTGAAGATCGCTGACGGACCACACAACAGGTACGCATCGCGTGTTTCATCTCCTAGTCCGTCGGTTCTCTGTAGTGAGACACATGAAAACGCGTCGAGACCGTCTGGAAGGGGGGTACTTACGGGAAGTCATCCGGCATTGCTCATTCAGGCTGACCGATCTTGTTTGCCTGTCTTCCAACCATAAGCACAATCAAAGTTCGAATCTCCTGTTAACCGCAGTCGGCAGTGCACATGCTACTTATCCTGACATAGATGGGTGGCCGTGTGTCTCAGACTCCCGCAGGGTGGCATTAATGCTTGCATCGCTTCAACGGGTTTCATACGCATCAACGAATTTCCAACATTACAGCGCTGGAGTCTAGATAGTCTGAAACAATACAAGCTCTTCGCTTCACGAGCGGAATACTTAAGAGCGATCCCGAAGAGCTTACATGAATCAAGTCCTGGCTCGACGGCTGTGTTGCCAGTTTGTGCTAGCTTGAGAACCGGCAACTCTGTATCGTGCTCAGTGACCAAGATGGCAGCCGACGAGGAGACACCTCTACTCGGCGAAACCGCAGCCCAACAGTATAATGCCGATGACGTGCAGAATGGCCAAGAGGGCTCTCAAGAAACACCTGCCCAGGAGCCCAAGTCTCCGCCTATCCTTATGGTTGTACGTCATTTATACTGTTTAGTCCCTCCTGGAGACAAAATACGCTTAGATCATGCCTATGATGCTGAGCATATTCCTGGTGGCGATGGACGTAACGATCGTCACGTCGACGTATGCGCACATTGGAAGCCAATTTGAGCGTTTGGAGAGTACAAGCTGGATCACGACAGGGTACATGCTCACCGTTACGAGTTTTCAGTCAGTGCTTGTTCCCCTACCCTTGCGACCGGCATAGACTTACCACCGTCATTTTGATCGTGTAGACCACTGTATGGGAAGGTATTGTGCCCGCAACCCGAACATTACACGACGAGTAATCCAGTGTCATGTTTTGTAGCTGAGCGATATCTTTGGGAGAAAGCCCTGTCTGTTATTCTCGATATTCGTCTTTGCACTGGGGTGCTTTTTATGTGGCATAGCAAGGGACATGACGATGCTCATTTTCGGGCGCGCGATTGCCGGCATTGGTGGCGGTGGTATCTCTATGTATGTGCAATATCCATATTTCTACTCTCGCGGTGGCTGACCCACGACACAGAGTCACAAATGTCATTATGAGTGATGTGGTACCGCTGCGCGACAGAGGGTCATGGCAAGGTTTCGGCAATGTCGTCTGGGCGTCTGGCCAAGCTCTCGGTGCACCGCTGGGCGGGATCCTCACGGAAACTGTGGGATGGAGATGGTGAGTGGCAACAAACCAATGTATAAGTAACATTCATTTTTAAGCAAAAGACGCGCGTGCACATCTTATATTTCAAAGGGGGTTCCTTCTCCAAGTACCCCTGTCCTTCCTTGCGATGGTTGTGTTCTCCCTCGGTTTCAAGACCTCCAAGACCTCCTCGTCCGACTTTTCTGCCAAACTCAAGCGCATCGACTTTGGTGGTGCCGCCACGCTCATTGTCGCAGTCTTCGCGCTACTATTGGGGCTTGACCGCGGCGGAAATATCGCCTGGTCCGACAGCCTCACCATTGCGTATTTAGTGATCTTTGCCGTCTTCACATGCGCTTTCTGCTACACCGAATGGCGCCTTGCCAAGGAACCTTTCGTTCCGTTGGCGATTCTCACGGAGCGGACGCTCCTCGCTGCAAATGGCGTCGCATTTTTCACAGGCGCGACGGTCGCAATTTTGTTCCTCGTTGCGATGTACCTCCAGGCGGTGCAGGGTTTAGACCCCGCGAGTGTTGGCTCTATCCTCATTCCCGCTGTGGTTGGTGGAGCGTCTGGCAGCGTCGTCTCGGGGTTCATCATACGTGCCTCTGGGCGATACTATGCGCTCGCAGCGATCCTTTTTGTCTTCTACGTTTTTGGGATGGTGTCGGTGGTATGCGTTTCGGGTTTGTGGACGTTCTCCCTGATAGCTCTCAGCACTGGTGCGTGTCGCATTTCTCTAGAACCACAATAGCTTTACTCAGTACTGTTTTTATTGGTTTTTACCTGTGCGTTGCAGCTATGGTGGTAATGAATGTGGGAGGATGTGAGCGTCCAGTCTACTCATCGTCGTTGGCGTACATCTCACACAACTTGTCATGTTTTCAGGGGGAGGAAGTACAGCGGCTATCGTCGCTCTTGTCTCCACCGCGGGGCCCGAAAACCAAGCTGTCGCAATCGCGGTATTCGGCCTCTTCCGCTCACTCGGATCTGTCGTCATTCTCTCAGTTGCGACGGCACTATTCCAGCAAACATTGCGCATAAAGTTATACGCACGACTTTCCGGTGATGGTGTTGACGAGGTGCGTGCAAGCATTTCATTGCCCGTATTACAAGGCGAATACTGAGCAGTCCCTTCTCACCCCTCCATGGTGTCGTCGTAGATCATCAAACATGTGAGGGAGTCACTCGATTACATCAAGGAACTCGACCCAGCATCACGTACGGCAGTAGTGCGTTCATATGGGGATGGCTTGCAAATTGGGATGTGGTTTACGGCTGCGATGGCTATGGGCCCTCTGTTATCGGCGCTATTTATCAAGGAAAAAGCTATGTCACGGTAATGCGTATCGTGTACGATTGCGTTGGGTGGACACTGGTAACAGAGCTAGACGGATGAGCCTAGGGCGGATCATTTAAAAAAGACTCGTTTGATGGAACAAGGACACGAATTAATTGAATAGAAACGGAGCCGGCTCGCACTTTCAGATTATATTCATGACTCCATTTGAATGACAACGGGCGTATACTATCACACTTGCATGCAAGTAGTATAAGTGTAGTAAGCGAGATGAATGTTCAATAAAATCGGGTACAAGTGATACAAGATAATTGAGAGAAAAGTGCGACAAGTCCTTTGAATACAAAATCTGTGTCCATGGATACATAGTGGGTGAAATATGACCGATGTTAAAGGTAGGTTCGCGGTGTCGTTAAACATAATCTGTCTTCGTATAGGTTCTACGTGCCATGAAGGGAGATCAGAGTTTCGTGTAGATAGGTATATGCACGCAACCAGATCTGATTTATGGTTGGCATCAATAAACTGTAGATGAATATCACAAGGTCCGAAATCTTCCAAAGGGGTTCGAGATTCTATAGTGTTGATGTATTGTAGTAGAAGAGCCACGATGGTGCATGCGCAGTTGAAATCGGCACACAAGAACAATCGGCTGAACCCAGGAAGCGTAATCAAACGGAACGGGTGTAAGTGGTAGCGGAGATCAGTACCTGTCCATGGCAATACAGACGTCGTAGCAAACTCCCTAGCATTGCTTGAGGAACGAATTTTTTGGCCACGGCTGGTCATAGTCCCCCGTCCATGTCGTCAAGTTCGGGTTCGTATACGCGTCCATGTACCTATAAGCAGTTGTCCTGTTATTAGCTTTCCATTGTGCACATGGCGCCATTGAACGATGAGCACGATCAAACCGCTCACTGATTGATGTATGCTTCTGTCGGGAAGTCTTTCGGGTCACATCCGATGTTGATCGCGTCGCTCGGTTGGTACACTCGGATATAGTCGACACGCAGATGAACCGGGAATGGAATCTGTGTAAGGTCCACTTCGCCAAAGTTGTATGACATTCCCAAGTTCATGATGAGGTACTGTGGAGCGCCATACATCATGAGCCGCAACGTCAAGATGCGGTTGAAAAAAAAAAGTGTGGGACACACCATGGGCTCCTGTGACACCGGTCGCGCTGAGATTTGCACCTTGGGGTCCGCGCCCATGCCCGCAGCATTTAGCGTCCACGATGCCTTGTTGTTCGCGACCCACGTAATATACTAGCACTGATCAGTATCATACATCCTTCACGAAAGAGTGGTCGTAAGACTCACTGCGTTGTCAAACCCTGGCACATACTCGAATCCATATACCGAGTAGCATCCGGTCTCATACTCATAGCAGTTCTGGTTTGTCTCAGTCACAACGCTCGTTGCTTGCTGCAGCACGCCACCACTATACGTGTTCTGCGTCGAGATAGATGGATTCGCAATCACCTCGTTCGCACTTGAGTTATCCCACAAGTATCCCGCGTTGAACGGCTACCATCATTCACACACACACCACCGAAGTCAAACGCTAGTCCCAGCCAACATTACACCAGTAAATTAGCACTCACCGCCCATTGTGCAGACTGCGACACCTGTCCCATCGGTGGCGTCCCCGTGATTTGTGCCTCAAACATATCGATCTCCGGCGCAGCGCGACCCACAAATGTCCCATCGCTGTGCTTCGGCCCTGGATGGCTTTGCCCTGGACACGTACAACGCGATAACCGTTGTCCCGGTAAATAAGAAAGCACCCCGTCCGCGCTCGGGTCACCGCCCTCCGTTGCAGCAGCAGGCTGTCCGTCGACGGTCTGATTAGCCACTGTACCGACGTCGCACGAATCGTACGAGTATGGCCACTAACGGGATCAGGGTATTAGTGGACTAGGAAAAAGGGGAGACACAGGTAGATTTACTAAGCCTTGCAAACTCGCTCCGTACCCCGCACGCCCGAGGTTGCCCATTGTCCATATCGCAGGCCACAGACCCACGATATTATTAACCCCCGGCAGCGACACGTTCGCCTCTACATATCCACCCGTGAAGCAAAATTTGTTCCACGTGCTAAGCATGCCACCCTGGTATTGGAGATTGTGCGTCTCCTTCTGGCTTAGGGTGATAACCAAGCTACCATTCTGTGTCGAGATCGCTGTGGGGTCGTACCATTCTAGATTGTTCGTCTCCCAATAATGCAGGTTTGCCGCCTCCCAATACGGGTCGTCTCCTGGCCAGAATGTCCGCCCAGGAGTATTGAACTCGTCTGAGAACACGAGCGTCATCTCTTCGCGCCCGTTCCACGATGGCTTCGTGTACGCTGACCGCGGCGTATCCGCGTCGATCAGCCCAACACTGCCCGGGATCTGCGGCACCTGCCCCGACCCGTTGATCCCGCCTGGCCCATACGCGCCTAGAGATGTATATGCGCTCGAGCGCGTATACGTAATAATTGGGTAGCCCGCGCTTTAAACATAGTATCAGCCACGGTCCTCTTGGTCATTGAAGAACGAGAACAGGCTTCAGCCACATTGCCACGACTACGCCATGCATGAGTGTCCACTCGCAGATTTCCATGCGCCAAGTCTACCAGCCTATATGGAACAGCCTGGGAGGGTGGAGCACGTACGCCGTCGCTGCATGTAGTTCCAATATGTCCGTACACGCGTCGGAATTCTACAACAGATCGGCAAATGTGCGAGGATACTCTTTGCTACGGGCGCCTGTTCTAATGCACCCATGCCAAACTTCAAGTTCTCGGAGCCGTCCAAGTCTGGGACAACCTCGCACAAGGAGAGAAAAAAAAGACAAATGAACATGGCGTCAGCCGCACCATCGTGGAGCATACTACAAATCCTGTAGCATGGCTTATTCGTGCGGTGACGTCAGAAAACTATTCGCCAATGCGCACAGATGGGAATAAAAGGGAAATAGTGAAAGACTGTAGGCCTCAAATCACTTCGAAAATGATTCACAACAACCAGTTATCACGTTGACTGGAGACTGGCCATGAACTGCTTGACGACACATCCAGTGGAATTCAGATGCAGACAGAAATAGCTCATGCCAAGCCAAGAAGGTAAAGGGCAAAAAACTTACAAGAGCGTCAGAAGGGCACCAATGAGAAGTAGCAAGGAGCCAACGTTGGTGAATCCTCGCCAGGAGAGGACAGGACCGTCGCGGTCAATATGGCCAGGCTTATCGGAGGGGTCGGGGAGATGGAGATGGTCGTCGGCCTCCTTCATGTCGGGAGTGACGTAGGCGTTCCATTGGTCGGGGTCTGCAGAGAGAGGGAACTAAGTGGCAGTGTGAGTGAGAGGGTAGAACACGTAGAATTCAGGACGTACGTCTTTACCGAGAGAAGTGAGGGAGAGAGGGCGACCAGCGCTAGCGTAGGGCGAGTCGACCTAGGATGCTTATCGTGAGGACAGTTAAGAGACGGTGAGACAAGGAAACTCACGACAGAGTAGGACTGGCTGCTGACGAATGTAGTGAAGCTGTGCAGACGAGAGCCGACGGAAGATGCGAACGGCGTAGCAGGAACGGTGGAGGAGGGGGTGAGGGGATGATAACGGTCAAGGGCGCGGGGGCGGCGGAGGTCTGGTAGAGACATCGCAGCGGCGGGATCTAGAAAGGTTCAGTGAGTAGAAAGAGGAGAGCGCGAAGGAGTGGTGCGCAGAGAGCAGATAGCCAATGCATGGTGACGGAGACACTTCGGAAGGTGCTATTGGGAATATGGACGGGGGCAGAAGAGAGGCAGAGTGACGTCAGCAGTAGGCTGGCGGTCAGCGTGAGGGAGCCCCGTTGTGGGGGAAGAATCATGCGAGCAGTAGACCGCACATCCCTCGTTGCGGTAGGCCCGGCAACTCTCGCGCGCAAAATGAAATCGAGATGGGCGTCCTTCATATATACGACGCTAGAGCAACGCGATGTACTTAGCTGCAGAACCGACACGGGTTTCCCTCCGCGTCTTCTCTTCGGGGGGGAGTCGCGCGTATGGAGAGGGAGGAGAGGAGAGTGAGAGAGAGGACAAACCCGCGTTCCACATCCTCCGGGACTTAAGAAGCGCACTTTCAACACATTTCACGTGTCTAGTCGCCAGAACGGCAGAAAAACATACCAGATACAGCAAGACACCTTCCCAAACCAGAGCAGACGGACGTCACGGGGAATGTAGGTGGAGGTGCCCTCACATGCACGTTGTCCCGCAGCCTACCAAGAACACGATAAAGTGATCCGACTCGGAACAGGCGAGCTTTGCGAGAGCAACGCCGCTTCATGTCTGCTCTCGTTCTATGTAGGTAGATTTATCCCGATAGTGCACGAGAAGAGCATGACCGGACCTGCACGAGAGAGCCAGAATGTCAAACTTGCCAGGGATCCAGAACTTGGGGCTCGCAAGTGTCAAGCTCGTCACCGAGGGCTGAATACCAGATTAACCTGGATATAGCCCGTGCGCATAGCAAACAAGTGAATGAAGTTGCGCGGAGGCGCTGGTGACAGTGCCGGGTTCGTCCGGCCCGCCGCAAGCTGCCATTCGTTTGTTCACGGTCTCAGTCCTTTCTAGCGAACCTGTTAGTGTCCAGAAAAAGTTCCATACTGTTGACTCTTAAATAATTCTGTGTCGATGTACCCCTAATGAAGCCAGATCTCATGTGACGGCGAATCCTATCGCGATAGAGACTTTTCTCTCAAAAATGGCGTTGCTGCCACAGCAGCGAGGATAATCACTACAGAGAACCACATCACGACTTGCGACCCATCGTTGTACGACCTCATCACTATCGCGCGTGTCGCGGGGTCGAGCTCCTTGATGTAATCGAGCGACTTCCTCGCACGGGCAATGATCTGCGATGAAACCAAGCGAGTCGGTTATGGGGCGGAATGGGGAAGGTAGTATGTTTGATGACTCACCGTGTCAACGTTGTCGCCACTTAGTTGTTCCCGCAACCGCATGCGCAGGATCGTCTGAAAAAGTGTCGTCGCTATTGATAAAATGATGGAGGGTCCTAAGGTACGGGCCAGGGCCATAACTGCAGTTCTACCGGTCAGCTGAAGAGCCATGTATACCCGAGACAAACTTGCCAGCAGTTGCGACAGCCTGTTTTTCTGGGCCTGCGTTGGCGACGAGGGCAACCACAGATGTCGTGATCCCCGCAACTACACAAAAACCTCAATCATGAGTTTCCAAATGGACGTGAATTTCAGGTAGATCCCTACAGCCCCCCGCATTCAGGATCGCCAGGCCTAGAATAGGAGTCAGACAACCATCGAGGCACCTGCAGATATATCAGACGATACACACCTGCACTAAACCCAACAAAGGAAAATAGCCAGGGCACGGAAGCGGACGCAGCGATTGCAATTCCGCACGCGGCCAGCAAAAAGGAGCATAGAGATAGCACACGGTACTTCCCCGTAGCTTGTATGATTAATCCCGCAATGACACTGCTTACTGCTCCACCTGCCACCGCCATAACGAGCGTGAGCCCCACTTGCGTAGGGCTGAAGTTGCGCACGATCTGTAGATAAAGGACTGCGTAGAATGGAACGACGAGCATAGCACCATTGGAGAAGAACTCAATGGCGAAGATGGGTAGCAGTCCGCCGTCCAATACAATATCCTTGGGCGCGAAAGGTTCTCTAGCCAGACGCCATTCGATGACCCCGAATGCGACGATCAGAACTAGAAAGGCGGCGAGGCAGCTAATCGTCAAGCGGTCCATCCACGCGACATTGCCCCCCCTGTCCAGTCCCAAGAGCAGGGTGAATACGGCAAATACGAGAACAACGGCTCCGCCAACATCGACGTGACTTAGTTTGGTTCTGAAGTCTGAAGGTCTACTTTTTGCATCCTTGAAGACAGTGGCGAATATCATCGCTGTAATAATAGTTGGAAAAAAGAGGACGATGTAGGCCCTTCACAAAATATGATGAATCCCAATGACCGCCAGTTACAGGTTGCGCACTACTTACCATCTCCATCCCAAAGTTTGCGCGAACAGCCCACCAAGTGGCGATCCAACCGCTTGGCCAATTGCGTAGACGGTACTGGTAACGCCGTGCCACGTTCCTCGTTGACGCAGAGGAACCACATCAGTTGTGATAATGACTACAGCTCTGGATGCTGCATCAGCAAAGTCCGTTTAACAGCTGCATACCAAAAGCACTTGCATCGCAATTCCCCCCGAACCGATTCCCACAATGGACCGTGCGGCAACGAACATAACCATGCTGTTAGCCAAAGCACACAAAAGGCAGCCAAGTCCGAACACCAGCAATGCGAACACCATACACGCCTTACGGCCGAATATATCACATAGCTAGAAGATCGATTCTTTGATATCCACGATCCACAACGACCAAAAAGTTAGATAACTGACCTTTCCGCACAATGGCCTGTCACGCGTAGCAAAATGATGAGCCATATGAAAACGCACGTCACTCAAGCTGCAAGCATGATGACTGACTGGAAGCCCGTCAGGGTGAGCATGTATCCTGCTGCGATCCAACTCGTGTTCTCCAAGTGATGAAAGTAACCGCTAACGTGCGCATGTGTTGCGGTGGCAATCGCATCGTCTATGGCTACCAACATAGCGGCCAGCTGCACGGCCAGCATCTGATCCCATCTATTAATGACTACATTCTCGGTACAACACTGAGGACGGAGTACGCACCACCACATGAACTGGTACCTTTACCTCCGGATCGCGCTCTCTGTCAGTCTCGGACCATCCTTCTGGTCGCTGGTCATCGCGCTCGCCGAAGCTACCCGTTTCAGCATCATGTTCAGTCTCTTGAAGCAGTGGTCTCTCTTCTTCAGCAACCATCCCAACGGCCGAGCGGGAGACGCCTCCTCGCTAAGGTAAGAAAAAGATTTACAGCTTGAGAAGGGAGCCGGAATGCAAAAGAACGTCAATCACTGCAGGAGCCGATGAGGCAAAGTGCAGTAATCTGCCACAGCAGGATTTCGGCTGCATTCCAAGACCTACTCGATCTTTATTTAAAATTATCGTCAGTGAAGGACGGGCCGGTGATTTGTGCGTTCCGCTAAGGCACCCGTAAACATGTCAGTGATCAATATGTTACAGGCTCACAGCTTCAGTACTCACTTATTGATGTAACTTATCTACCACTATCCCACCCTTCGCTCACATGAAACACGAGATAACCTTCTCCCATATTAGTCTTCCATAGGCAGTCCTTATATGGCCACCTCTTGACTGCAAGGAGGACAGTCGTCATATCTCTATGTCAAGAAATGCACTGCGACTGCATCGGCTACGGCAGAAAGGGTTGGTGATCGTTGATGCGGGGGCGCTGCGAAGCCTCTGTCCACAAAGACACGGGTTAACTCAGTATAAGACCCGATCACCCTAGTTGCCTGCTAGACTCCTTGATTGTATGACTGAATGGGCCCTTTTGATTTCTGAGGATCAGTGACCTGCGCGACGCTGGAGGCTGGAGCACTCGAAGACATCCAGAGCCCCTTTAGAGTCTCTCAATGTCGTCATCATGTCGTGGTCGGAGGGACTCAGCAAGCTTGAACTCACTTGAAGCAAAGCCTCAGGTCGGAGCGTCAGGATATCATATGAACTCAAGGCGGCAAAGGACCTCCGAGGCACCAAGTAGAACTGATTCAGACCAAGTAACTCTTCAGATTGAATCAGCTGTAGCCTAAGCTTCCGCACCGAGCAACGCTCAAAATTTCAAGATTGGGGAGTCACTGCCTACTTGACCGAGGAAGCCTGCGGGACATTGGACCGACACCGATAAATATTATAGCGCTCTACGTTCGTGGCCTTGTTCGAACCATCATCGTCATGCACGAGCAGCAAGCTTATGACACGGCGACATAAATTGTCTCTGGGTAACTTTGATATACGTGACCCCTATGCTGACCGTTAGTGCGAATCAAGATGAGGGCTAGTCAAGATACTAAACATTCACGAGATAGGTCTATGGACTGCTTCTTGTATTAGCAGGATGACGTACAGTCATAGATTATCATACATCCGTTGTTTGGGATCATAAACAGCTGCGAGATAAACTCAAGCAAAGATGATCTACATTCATGTCGTCTATCGGCGAGAACAGATCAATTAGCATGTCACAATTGGATCATCAGATCACTATAAGCTAGCTTACACTGAAGACATTATGATGAATAACCAAAGCAAACTCCCGAAAATTCGAGAAATGAAGTCAATTTGACTCGCCGAGACGTACTCATATCTCACTGCGCTATAGACGGAGCAACATCCTCAATCATCACAGAACTAGGTCTCGACGGCGGTTTTGGTATGTTTGCGAAAAAGGATCGTCTGCGTCAGACATGAATGTCAGCATTCCATTCTTATCCAATCCATCAGACTCGCCTATTCAGCACCAGTGATTTCAACGACCTGATCTCCCGCTTGATCTCCTCCGCCTGCGAATCTCCCTGGAACGCGCTTCGCACTGACGAAAATGCCTGCGCGGACATGTATCCTGTCAAATCCGACATCGCCTGCAGCGTGTGTTGGAAACGGCCACCCATAGGGACCTGTGCGGGATGCTCGGGGAAGGCGTGCTTCAGCTTGTGCAGCGATATTAACAGTGGTGGGAATGGAGGGAGTACAGGTTCGACGTATGACCAGGTGGATATTCCGTCTATTTCCTCTTGACGGAACAATGAGCTCGTAGAGAGCGTTTTCCAAAGGAGCTCCTGATAGACAGACCACAAAAATAGTTTAGAATAGCTATATGGATGTTATAGAACTAGACACACCTGGAATGACAACCCATCCTCCTCCCTAAGCCATGGCATTTTGCCTTCTAGGTGTACAAAAATGGCCTCTGATGTTGGCTTCTGTTCTGTTTTCACTACATCTGCAATGGCACAACGTAGGAGCGTCTCAGGAGGCACGTTCCTCCCGCTTGCCTCGTCTTTACTTGTCTCTTTATTCTCGCTCACATCGGTACTGGCACTGAGAACATCGTCCAAAGTCTGACATTGGCCATATCGCGCATCACGGAACAGCTCCGGGCGAGGGAGCACCGCTGCTGTCTCTGCACGCGTTTCCTTGAGCTGTTCGAGGGACGCAGTAAGCCGATGGAGGAGCCCAGTCTGGTGTCGACGCAGGGAGAGACGCGCATGAAAAGTTTGTGCGATGCGTGGGTAGATGAATCTCTACGATTGGAAAAGGTAAGTTGACACGGGGGCAGACATACATGCATGAATGCGTGAGACAGATATGGACCAAGGAGGAAAGAGGATCTACAACGTACAAAATAAACAAGGAGCAGGGCAACACTGCATCCTGCGACCCAGCTCGCTACGCGTGCCACGCCAAGCAAAAGACCGGGAAGGGCAGAAGGAAGCGGCGCGGGGTATGTTCGCGGCGGGATGGCTGGTGTCTGGAGCGGCTACGGGGCGGAGTTAAACCGTTAGCTCTAGCTAGCCGTTACCCCACCTCTATGAGATACGGGGGAAAGGGAGCACGCGAGAACACACCATTTCGCGCAGTAGGACATCAATCTCATCATTGCGTAGTCCTTTATCGACGAGGAAGGCTCGTTTTGCTGTATAATCAGAGGAGCGAACTTGCGGCGAGGTAAGGAAGGCACGGGCTTGAGCGAGGAGGGTGGATCGGTCGGAAGAGTCAGTCAATGCATTTGACGGCGTATCTACAGGTAATAGGTGCTGGCCTTCGGGATGTAGCGAAGGGGAAGAATGAGCAGCCTGGGTTGGCGAGACCGAAGCGTCGCCGGAGCTGGCTAGAGCATGAGACTGAGTGTCTTTTTGTAACGCACCCTTTGCATCCGAATGATGATTTGTGGGAGACGATGAGGACGACGAGGGCTGAGAAGGTGCGGATGAATCGTCCATGGAGGACAGCACCGACAACAGTGACAAGCACGCGCGCTCGCGAACCCGAGTCGCGTCGATGCACGTGAGGGCGGGCAAGCGCTTGCATGCTTAGTTTGGAAATTGACGACACGTCGGCGGGAGCGCAACGGGCGCTTGTCACTACATACTCCTTGGAATTGTGCTTACTCAAGACGACTATCTCTTCCTTCCTTTCTTCCCGGTTGCAGACTCGGTGAGTAGAAAATTCTTGATTGAAACAATATTTCATTATTTCGATATTTTGCTGGTGTATTTTGCTAGCGTATGCAAGTCGGATCTTGGCATGGGGGGGGCACGAGTGGACCATGATGGACGACGGGTAATTTTGATTAACGTGCATCAGGATCGCTGGGGTAGGATCGCTTCCAAGGACCAGGGTCAATGTCTGTAGCTCCGGAGTATGTTTACATCCGGCTTGTATATTTTACGGAGGGGGTTCCCCTTCTGCCTGACATATAAGGTGGCCCCCGTACAGTGCGAAGTCCTTCTCATAACAGCGGAGAGGCAGAGTACTCGATATTTGTTTACGCAAAGCAACCGACTATGGCCGATCTTATCCCACAAGTGTGCACGGCGACCGGCACTCTCTTCATTCTCTACCAACTATACTGCCTACTAGATTTCGTCTGGTTCTACTTCATTCGACGAAGCTCTATCCGCCGATTCATCCATCGTGACGGGCCCTCTCCCTACGCACTCATCACCGGAGCTCCAGAAGGCATAGGCAAGGCCGTCGCTTCCGAATTGTATGATACCGGGTTCAACCTCATTTTGCACGGGAGGAATGAAGACGAAGTCCGCACACTCATGGAGGAGCTACGTGCACGCCCAGGGACACGCCGCGATGTGCGCTATTTCGTGGCCGACGCATCAAAGCCCGGACACAACTTCGCGCAGCTCGTCGAGCCGTTCAAAGAGTTGAACATCACCATCGTAATCCACAATGTCGATGGAAATCACTTCACTTTGGAGAGGTGTGTATTTACCCTTCTCTGTAATGAAAGCAATCTGAATGTACGCTGATGCGCGCCCATAATCGCACGCAGGATGGACAAGACTGATGAGATGACACTCACTGGTGTCGCATACCTTAACGCCTTCTTCCCCCTTTGCCTTACGCGCGTGCTCCTTCCCCAGCTTCGTGCCTCCTCCGCCCGCGGGCTCGTTGAAGTGCAGTTCGTCGGCTCCAACGCGTCGTTCATCTGTCCTCCGGGCATACCCGTCTATGCGTCGTCGAAAGCATTTATCTGGGCGCTCGCGCACGCCCTCGACGCGGACGAACGGCTCTGGGGTCCACCCTCGAACCTGCACTTCTCGTCCCTCATCGTCGGCGAGGTGCAGACAAACAGCCAACACTCCGAGCCGTCGTTCACATCGCCCAGCGCGGAGCGCTTCGCCAAGGATCTTGTTGCGAAGATTGGATGCGGAAGGATTGGCTATGCTCCGTGGATAGCGCATGGAATCATGAAGTGGGTGAGCGGATTCTGGATGAGCGGTATACAGAAGATGGCAGCGCCAGCTATCAAGAAAGCTGCCGAGATGCAGAACTCAAAGGCTTAGATGTCTTATTTTATACGAAGCAAACATTTAATAGATTCGAGGGACAGTATGAGAAGCCTTTGACCGTGGTACTGTCAGTGGCGACATACTCATTATGATCGGCGAGTTTTAGACTCCGAAGGCTTCCCGATAATCTGTGTTTGGCGTTTATTCCATTTTGAAGTCATTGCGTTGACATACGCATTCCGCACAAGCATCAAGGAAAGCAAAAGGCGATAGTAGGAAAAATAGGTGCAAATACCAGTCCACCCCCGGAACACGCGAGTGGATCTCCACCCGAATATTTTCGCAATCAGTAAGACTAAGAATACAATATGCATGCATAGATTTACATTATTGTCAAGACCAGTAATGCAAAGAAAATAGCGAGAAAGACGCAACAGGGGACTTTTGTTGAACCTGTCTGGTGCAAGCAAGTATACGAGATGCACTAAAGGTCCGGATATCCACTATGTACGGGATCGTGTGCTGCGAGAGGATGGAAAGGCATGAAAATCGTGATTCGTAAATCACGAACCACGACAGCGGAAGCACTGGATGAGAACGAGGGCAGCGAGGAACATGAGTGTAGATGCGTATGCGAACGTGCATGGGTGCGGCTAACCAAGCAACCGAAGAACCCGTAACCAAGAACCCGACCGGGAAAATGTTGGGGAACGGCGAAACTGACGCCAAGCGAAGGAAGATGATAATAAAAATGCGCAAAGATCAAACGTGTGAATGAGCCATAAGCCGACGGAAGGCAGTGTGGAACAGAGTAAGGATACGTAGTACAGTACGGGAGACGGGCATGAGGGGCATCATAGGACGTCGCGGACGTTTGTCAGGTACACAAAATGAGTCGCAGATGTCAACCTGATAAGAAGCGTGTCAAGCGTTGCAGAGCTATTTTTTCGTCGTCGTGATAAGGGTGAGTGTGAATAAGTCAAAGTGTGGAGTGAACGACTAGATGCACAGTGCATAAGATTGAGGGCGCGCTCAACACGACCGCAGTAACGCCTGCGCACGGGTCGCATGCGCTTTATCGACAAGGAGATTCGCCGTCTTGAACGTCGAGTTGTACATATGGTTGATCCCGTTTTCTTCCAACGTCCGCGAAAACCGATTCACAAGACCATGTTTATCTATACGATCAACAATGTCAGTATCGCATAAGACAGCAAAGAAGTCGAATACATGGCACTTACCAAGGCCAAACTTTCGCAGATCGATCTGCAAGCAGCGCAACGTCCCCTGTGCTTCTCGCTCACCATCAACTTCCTCCAACTCGCGCTCTTCGTCTGCTAAATCTGCATCCGGCGACCCCTCACGCGAGTCTAGAATATCGAGCTCGTCACTACAAATAACCATGTCCCGCTCATTTGGTGGGAACAATGCGGCGAGGAGCGAGACCGGCGCAGTTAATGAAGATCCCTCCGACGTGCGGGTGAAGGAGAAGAACGGAACCAGCGGCGGATAAGACGTTCCGGCAGTGGACGATGTCGAGGACGAGGCGGACACAGAGCGCGCACGGTGGTGACTGTCAGAAACCGTCTCTTCAGTATCATGGTGCGCGAGAGAGGGTCTGCACAATCTAGACTCAGATTCTGATACGCTCTCTAGCTGGTTCTGCAATAACTCGGCCGAGTTTCTGAGTGGACTGGCGGAGAAGTAGCTGCCCTCACTGCTTGAGTCGGTGTCTACATCAACATCGAGGTCCCATGGCCTAGGGTTTTGATAGTCAAACAGGGATGAGTCGCCGTTTTCGTAAAACGAATCCTTTTTCGGAGAATCTGGCCCAACGCGTGTTGTATTATCGCTGTCGCTTGCACTCCCACTGCCATCGCTGGAAGTTACAAGATCGAGAGAATGTTCTATCGGAGAATCTAGACTGGAATTCACTGGTAATGATGGGGAGCGCAAGACAGACGATGAGCGCGAACAGTTGCGGCTTTCTGACGGCTTGCTGTTATTCCCGATGATCATGTCCGGAAACGCGACGAGCTTCACGATCTTGAGGCCCCACGTTTCTGCACTCTCGTCCCTCAGACCAACATATGTAAGATCTGGCGCCAACACGCTCACACTACAGCCAGATGGTGAATGCGAATGCGAACGGCTCATGGCAGGCTTCGACGGAGGAGCGGGCGTCTTGAGGTCATCTCCTGCCGCATCAGCTGATGCTGGGTGCACATCGGGTGCAAAGTCCAGGGGGTTGGACATCTCTGAGAGGGGTGGAATCGAAGCTCCGCGGCTGCCCGAGGAACTGCTGGTCGCATCTGTGCTGCTTCGGGATCGAGTGAAAACAGCACCCCCCTCGGGGTCTACACGCTGATTAGAAGATGTGGACAGCGAGTTGAGATCGAGCAGGTGGATCGAAGAGCCATCATCTGCGGCAGGGGAGAGAAGGGGGGACGCGAAGGTGGAGAGTTGCGCAGTCAGATTGTTTGGGTCGGAAGAGTAGAGATCAAAGCCGGCCGAGCCCAACAGGGACATGACCTGCGACAGCTTGGCCGATTTTACCTAATAGAACGCAGGGTGTAAGCGAAGCGACAAGGAAGCATGACGTGCTTTAATGAGGACTCGGTTGACAAATTGAAAAAATTCCAGAATGGAGGAGCCGACGATAGGGAGACTGGGCCAAGCGGCACGGTAGCAAGCGACGGACATCAAAAGGGGAGAATTGGAAGCGCATTAAGGACAGCTACGCTTACGTGAAGATAGGAAGGGAAAGCTTTTGGGGAACATGATAGGGGTAAGAGTACTCACAAATATGTAGTCGCTCGTATACGAGGACTGGTAAAGAATGGATATGCCCGCCGCAGCTAGGGGTGTGGACAGTTCCAGTACCCGCGTACCAGAGTTTTCTGGAGAATCAAGTCAGGAGGAACGGGAAAAGCGATAGGTACTAAGGTACGACGTACGGCCGATCTCGTCCGAATGTGAGTCAATTTGAAGGACACTCCATCTATCCGAGGACACCTCGACAGGTTCCCAATTCGCTTTCGAACGCTTAGGACGCCTACTGGCGCGGGGCTCTGTCGAGTGCGGATGTGCGCTGTCGTCCGTGTTCCTCCTCAACCTGAGTTTGCGTGAATCTTTCCTGGCTATATGCCGGAAATCCTCGAGGGCATGGTGCTCTGCGAAGAGGCTGAGCTCGATTTCGTTGCAAGTGACATTGAGGAACGTAGGGGTCGGTCTGAGAATCTGGCGAAGGATGTGCTGCGTGAGGGAATCGAGGCGAGAGCGGGGAAGATGAACGAGGGCGAGAGAGACGGGGAGGAGCTGGATGGTGACACTGTCGGTCATGAGAGCCCTGAGTGCGCGGGCAGACGAGGGCTCGTGAAGGGACGGAAGGAAAGGGGGGGGCGGTGGTGGCGAAAGACTTAAGTAGCGCTGCACCGGCCGGGCGAAGGCAAGCAGATCGCGAGCCGACGGTGAGAGGAAATGAGATCGGGCGCAAAATAGCTCAGTAAATTCACAGGCGCCCGCGCGGTTCTCGGTCCGCCACCTTCGAGTTCCCGCCCACTGCTTACTCCTACTTACCTCGACTCCTCGTCTTCGCGACACCCTCTCCGCAACATGGGTCGCGCCGATATACAGGTGCTCTGCCAGGATTGGAAAATAACCTGCCACATAGTCGAGTCGGTGACCAGCTCTCGGATGCAAATATGGCTTCATTCTGATTCTTCTGATCTCATCACTCTTGACTCTCTAACGCTTGCAAAAATCCGCCTAGCGCGTCCTGGCCACATCGTCCGCCGCCCTCGGGTCATTCGTAACCACTGAAGCTGGAAGGGACCGATATCTCCACATCGTCTTTGAAACATCCACCCAGCACCCGCCGTCGAGACTCGACAGACAGACCGATCCCAATGCGCGCGGCCGCCTGTCTCGCACAGCGTCTGCACCCTCTGTCATGACGCACTTGATCACACGTTCCAGGTCTTCAGAGCGCTCTCGGGACCCCGGACAACGGTGGGCAGGTCTCATCGCCACTCAGACGGATTTCAGCTTTTCGCCAGTGCTTGTTACATAAATATACAGTATGTAGCATGCTTCCGCCTGTATGTGGTGAGTACTTTCCAGTTTTGTACTGCCGAATCAACAGTCTAGACCTCAAGTCGGTGTCACTCCACGCCCCATCAAGTGGTATGTTTTGCTTTGTCTTGGGGTTCACACTACTTAAACGGAAACTGGCTTCTCTGCAGACCGATACCGGGCTCGCTCAATTGTCTCTCGCAGAACTTTCTTTTGTAAGAGTCGGCACGAACTTAGGGTCCCCAGGTGTTGATGATCGCGGGTCCGATAGCAGTTATCGTAAGAATTTCAGGAAATCCTACCTTGATTTCCAGCAGAGTTCCTTAGCAGAGATATCCAGCCAATTGGTGCGTTACGTGAATGCTCTATGCCGTAGATGGTGCAGGGGTGGCCCATAAAACTAACCCTCTGTCTGGCTTTCCATATCATTCCCAGTAGAAAGCCAACGCATACATTGCGAGACTGCTTGGGGGCCGTCAGCTGTTGCACCTTTACGAATTCAGACACTATCGTACGTCCTATGTCTGGGTCCTCTTCCTTCAATTTTCAGGATTGAATGTCTGGAATACGCGCGTGGGAGCTTCCGCGTCCTTTTTGCAAAAAAAGACTGAAGTGAGGCTAGTTCCATTCACCCAGTCTTGTCTGGCATTCCCTGGGCGTAGAAATCATTGCTACGTACGATTGGCTGCGAATGCTGTATTTGCAAAAATCCGCCCAGGGAGATCTTGACGAGCCGGCCGCCCTCCGCTATCGCAATCTCCGGGGTCCTACGCTCTACCAGGTACCTCCTCGCCGACTGGCCCATGTGCAGCCGCACGCCTGGGCACCAGATTGTTCAACAAGTCCTCTCCCATTTGCTTCCGCCTCTCACGCCCGACCACTCCTTCTCCACCGACGTCCTGCCGGCGACAAAGGTTGGCCTCGGTCATCATGCACGAGCACGACATTGATGGGGACGGCGGAGCGCCGCGTTGGTAGCCTTTGATACTGCGCAAGTCCCCTTCTCTTCCATTTGCCTCTGGTTCACATGCACTTTGCATTGAGTTCAGGCGACAGTCCCTCTTCCTTCTCGGGTGCACACGGCCTGCGTCGATGTGATGCGGGGCAACACCGGCCCTTGGTATATACTGCCTACTCGCTCAGTTGGGGCCCGGGCGTGCATTCACCTCAGCAAAGTGGAGCATCGTGCGTGCTTCCCCGCACGCTGCGCCCCGCTAGCGCTCATGGAGTGTGCACTCCTGTTTCTCCTGTTCGAGCAGCATATCATACATCCGCCGCGCCACGACGACTCGTTTTCTGATTTCGAATGCGACCCCAAACCGGTTTCCCATATTATACTCCGGGCCGCGTAGATGGCAAACCGTCCTACCCGCGAAGTTCAGATCAATCACCACCTCCTGTCTGTCTGTCTAGCCCGGGACCAGCCGATTGCGCCCCGTCGAGCCTCATGTTATGCACATGTGCATCGTGCGGAACCTCGAACGGCGTACGAGGAGACGCCAGGGGGTCTACCATTCAGGCTCGCGCAGCCAATTGTTCACACGCGGGAGCCACTCAAGGTCAGCGTGCAAACGCTCGACCGTGGCAGCGCGTAGCGCGTAGCACACTCAGCCCACCACCTTCTTCAGGACAGCGAGAGCAGCTCTGGCGCTTGCAAGCGTCTGACCCATGGTCCGGTCGCGCAAAGTCGCAAAAGCGCTCCTGCAGCACCCTGCAATGACGCTCGGGACTGTACAGAAATACTGCAGGCTTTCCGCCGCCCGTGGATCGCCCCCGTCCCAGATAGGAAGGCAGCGCGTGCGATGGCGAGGACACGATCGAGCTCTTCGCACGGACAGCTCGACCCTGCGTGGCATTGGCACAATGCGGTGTAAGGCGATCTGTACGATGCCGGCGGTAGCTTGCTGGGTGCGCCCTTGGCTCGTGGTCGGGAGCAGTACATGCGCACACCAAACGCTGCTTATCTTTGCTGCGCGCCGAGTCTCAGCTGGCCCGTATCGACTAGGCTGTTTTCTGCGATATCTGCTCCCGGTGTTTTTCGTGCCCTCTATGCCCCTCTGCACTGCCCGATCGCCAGGGTGTTTCGAACTCGTCTCGCAGCGATTATTGCCGAAGAATGGAATGATGGTCCTCCACGAGCAGTCACCAGTGGAGATCTCCTCCTTATAGCGGACGCGAGGTGCATAGAACGAGCACTAGTTGCGCTCCAAGTCCTTTGGTCTCGTACCTAGACGCATAGAAGGTACTGGCACGCCCCGGTACTAAAACCACGCTTCCTATGCATGATCGTTGCGACTCTGTCTGAGTCATGCGCACACCCTTCAGCCAGGTGATCGCGTCACTGGATTTTTTGCGCCATGATAGCGTCGTTTTAGGTCATGTTCTACCCCCAGCCGCGCGATGGCAGCAGCGATTGGTCGCGAAGAATGGGCATCTGTCGCAGAATTAGTGATGAGTGTGTCGATAATCCCACTTGAGTCGGACCTTCTCCAACTTGCGCAGAGCCTGAAGTGCACGGCGAATCTAGGCTGCAGCAATTTTGCCAAGGACACACTGTACTTGGGAATGGTGGCTCGAGTTATGTGTCCGCCAACCGCACTGCTCACTGTATTTCCACCCACGCAGGCTTCTCTCGCCGGAGCACTCAATTGCGCAGCGCGACGAGAAGTGCTGATTTGGTGTAGCCTCGTACCTAATAGTAGCTGCATCACAATATGCTTGAAGACCAGCATCTTGGAGCTTGTTCCGAGTCTAGCCTTGGACCACTTTAGTAACACTTAGTAGGTTGTTAGATTTCGCTTTTGCGCCTGCTACCTCCGCACGTTCATGTTTGGCCTTTCATTTTTTTGCCCCGTCCGGGCTTCCGGGTGAGAGAGATCTGACCTAAGTACTGAAAAACGTTGCAGTTTCCATGTCTTGTTGATTGTTCATTTCATCTTACTCATACATTCACTTAACTGGCTATAAAAACAATTACCCACTATTGACACAATAATATTACACATGCAATGCTGCGGGTATCAACAGCGAAGGTATACGACATGAAGGTGTGATATGCAACCCGGTTCCCAATACTATGTGGTACGACTCGCGATCTGTTGATACCAGTCGTCAAAAGGAGGAAGGTCGTCGTCATCGTCATTCATAGGCACACTGAAGCCAGCAGACGTGCATCCGGATATTGACAATTCAGCATCGTCCTGTTCCTCGACTCCTTGCAGACGCATTTGGTATGAGTGCAAGGCATCTTCAAATTCGTCTTCGGGCATATCGAAGGCCGTGTTCAGGACGACTTCCCCATCGAATGCATCGGGTGTAAATGGACCATCGCTGTCAGCAATAGTGGCTTGCTCAGATCCATCACCGGCATCGGTCATTTCTTCTTTGATATAAGACTCCAGCGGGTCCGGGGGAATATTCATCAGCTGTGCGAACGGCGAAGGTACGGTGAGGAAGTAGCCCTGCCCGCAGTCTTGTGGGTTGGGTGTCATGTTGTAGTGTGGCGCCCACGGGTCTGCTGGAGGAGGCTCATGGACGACAATGTGCGGCGTCGTACATGGTGTGGTAGAATCGATGACCATAACCCCGGGAAAGTGACTGTAAGAGGATAGAAGAGGCTGTACGACGTCGGATCTGGCTCGAATAAACAAGACGGTATGGTGTACACGTACTTCAGCAGGATCCGTCCAGCGGAACGGTCTCTTCAGGTATGGTTGCAACTCGAGCGTATCCCATCTTTCTCTGAAGGATGGCGCCACTGAAGAAGCTGCCAGTGCCTTGACAGAGTTGTTAGAGCGACTGTTGGGCCCAAGATTGAAGTACGTACAGAGGCTTTATACTGATGACGATTTACGGCAGTGACGAGGTTATTCAGATAAACTACTTGACGCTCCTGGCAAGTCGAAGCGACCTAATGTTGTAAACCCACGTATGATCGTCTTTGGAAGGTTGACCTACTAGTTCTCGTAGTCTTAAAGAGCTAAAGATTTTCCGTGGTTCAGGGACGATATTGTTCGGCGATTCACCGCTCTCCTTGTCGCAACATCGGAGAGAAGTCGATTGCCAACGACCCTCCGGATGGGGCAGGGGAGGTAGCGATGCTAACGTACTCAGTGAAGGACTCTGTATTGGTACAGTCAGCCAACCAGGATATTGGGGACCTGGTACATTAGTCAGGGATGCCCAGTAGAAATTCCAGGCGTCGTAGGAATCGGGAGGTGTGACCACAATATGAGGTGCGACATCAGGACGAGCAGAATCGAGAATTAGGCTACGGCCATCAAGTTGAAATCTGAGGAGCACCTCCTAGGGGAATTGCATTAGCTTTGCATCCCGAGATATAAGTATCAAGGACATTTACATTTCGCTCACTGATAGACTCAGCGTTGCAAATGGATGGGGTGGTGTCGACAATCTGGAGGATAGTAAGGCTTTGGGATCCCAAGAATATAATTGCATGTACGTACTATAGTTTCAGACATTTCGGGATCGCCATCTTGGCTGTTAGACTAGAAAGTGTGAGGATAAAGTTGGGGGCACGAGCACGAGCTACACACTTCAAGGTCCGGGTCGTCTTCTACGTGAGTCACCTCGCGGATGGTGTCAAGAACAGATTCGTATGCTGCGCTCGTCAAGCACGCGGATGTAGTGTGTTGATGACCCACTCTTGGTGAGGCCGGTCGGTAGTTGTGTGCGGCACTTCCGCAGTCGTTAACGAGGCCGGCGACATGGCCTTGCACACGCTCCCAGAGCAGACCCGCCAAATTGGAAAGATCGTCTTTCGGTTTATTCAGTACACCGTGTTTATTTACAGAGAGCGCTTGGTGTTTCCCGGATGAATTGCACTGTGTGGAGCCGTCAAGTTCGATGAAGTGGAGGGCGAGGATAGCGGGTTCTGAAGACATACAGTGTTGTTTATCCAAGACAGGCGCAAGAATGATAGTCTTATATCAGCGTATACAGTGCGATATTTGACGAAGAACCCAGAGAAAGCGGAAGAGTCCAAATCAACCTGGATGCATTCTGGTGATCTTGGTCCATGTCCGGGGCTCGCAGTCGGAGGAAGCCTGCTGGACTTGCCGTCTTCAGCCACAGGCGCGTCTATGGCACGTGATGCAGTATCTGGGTGCTCGACTCGCTTTGCGACTTGCGCTCTCGTCTTCTGTTTGTGGTGCTGGAAGGTTTTCTTGGGTGCCTTATTTCGTACGGGTTGGTTTGCCCTTTCATTCCTGCTCTTGGAAGCCAGTGGTCGGAGACAGCGGTCAAGATAAACGAGCATGTCTAGTAGTGAATCAGCTGGATTTAGATTAGTCGATGAGTTGTGTGGCACAATGGGTAGGCAATGGTGTGAAGGTCATTGTGGACGCAGGTATGTTGTCTTTTATATTGATGCTCATCCGCCACACATCTCGGGCCCGCCACTCAGCTGTCCGTGGACAGCGGGAAAACCCTTGTGTGGTTGCTGGAATGTTTGGTTAGCACTGCTTTGACATACTGTACCGACGTGACTCTCTGCTTTTGCACAGCATACTCGGTGCATAGATCTATGGTTCATAGCGACGCTGGTAGTCCACTCGTCTGTTCAAGGCGCCGAGGCATCTCCGACTTGTGCTATGCCAGTGTTGTTGGACATCTGGCGCCCGGCTGCTGATGCGTCCCCGACATGCACAATTCAAGTCGCATGGATATCGGGCCACAAAAGCATATTTGGAAACGAGGCCGCCGACCGAATCGCGGAGACAGTAACTTATATCGATAGCATCTATTGGTGTGTGTGTTAGTTACTCTTCGCTGCATGATCTTAGGAGGATTGTCATTGACTAATAGTACACTGCCAGATGCCACAATAGCTAAATCGTATGGGCGTGCAGTATATAGAATAAAATCTGAGTGTCTTGAGTAGTGCATATGTACACCGCATGATATAGTGGTCGGAAGAACATCATCCGACACTGGCACACGAAATTAGGTTTGGAGCATAGTGCAGTTGCACGGAAAGGATTGGATGCATTTGCTTCCGCTATCTGGTATCAGGATACACCACTGTATATACGTACTTGTTGGCTATTTTGCCACACTCATCAAGTGCGAGGATTGGAATCATAAGCAGTGGGAAGATGCGTGCCGTAGGTTTCATCCTTCCTCGCTAAGACCGCTTTCTGCCAAATACTTTGTCCTCCATCCGCAGCCAGCTTCCATTCCTGAAGAGCTTTCTGGCTCGAGTTGGGATGTAAGATGACGTGGATACGCTCGTCACGCTGCCGAGCATGTCGCACGATCCTACGAAAGCTGTCTCGCGGCGGAATATACCTCGTTGCTCCTGGAGCCGGAGCCGCATAGCGATCAATGTGGTACCACGGATTATTCAGGTATTTGAACTCGTCAATCGTCAAGACGAGCATCTGCAGAGATGGGTGCTCCAAGACGCCATCAGGTAGCCGGAGGAGGTCGTGCGCAATGTTACCTCCAAGATCGAGGTAAGGGAGCGCAAGATGCGTTAGATTAGGAAGCATCTCGTGCGGGACGTAGGTTGAGATCTGCATGTCAAGCATATGGAGATAAGCAATGTTGTGGAGGAAGAGATTCCCGTCTGGGGTTCGAAGGCCAGCTAGGAAGTGCCATTCATAGCGCATAGTGTGAGTGATGAGCGTGATATGTCTGAGGACGGAGGGGAATGCCGGTCTCGCTAGATCCACTGGGGTGCGCTTGGATGCCACTTGGCATGACATGTAGAGCGCACGGAGTGCGGCGGATGGTAGGGCCATGTGCTCGATGTTTGGGCAAGTCTGGAAGAGATCCATCCCATTAGTGGGAGAGGACACTCCGACGCTCTCCGTCCAAAGATTGCGGACGACACGACCAATGTGCTCTGGCAGCCTTGTACGTGGCTTGTTAATCTGGTACCCCGCCCCCGCCATCGCAAGTATTCGCACATTGCCAACACGGTGGACTATGGTGGTGAAGAGGTAGGGGAGGGTGAGCTTCCTAGACCATGATGCGACCAGCGACAACGATTTTGCAGAAGTGAGTGATTGAGAGGCTGCCACCTCGAAGATCTGCATCATCAACTCTATTGGAAGGGCGGGTAGCTGCGCATGAGGGTCGACAGTCGTGGTAGTTGAACCTGAGTCGAAAGACATAGTCGCGGTCAATTAGAAAGAGATGAATTGCCGCTCCTTGTAACCTTAGCTCCTGAATTATCCAGTCCGTCAACGATGCCTCCGTGATACAGCTGCACAGCACAGATGCTGAGTCGGCGAGCGAATGGATCTGGGGAGGAGTTGCGTACTTTGAAGCCCCTAATGATGTTAATCGACAACCTTACTCCTCGGGTTGGAGAGTAACAAAGCAAATCGGATGCTTGGAGGAAGACTGAGCGGGGAGAAACGGTCTTGGTCGTCCGCCGTCGGGACATTTAGGACGTATTGCGCACATTGCCTCGAGGAGGCCGAGACCTACCCATACTTTCTGCCTGTCTCACACATGCCAGACGAATTTTAGAGATTAATTATGTAGGGTTTGAATGCGGATATATAGACGCGGCGCCGGCACGGCGTAGAGGGTAACAGAGAACGGATTGAGGTCGTTATTTTCGACGTGTGTTCGCGGTCGCAAGAACAAACATGTGGAGATGTTAAGATCAACAATACTAATGCGGCACAGATCAAGCACAGCCTTTGCAGTGCAGCGCGACACGAATAGAGCAGTGTGAGTGATAGACGTGGGATTTCACAAGGGCATACGTATACAATGTGACAACCTGAGAAAGGACAGCAACTATCTCACCTTTCTCCTTCATCAAGGCGACCCAACTTATACTGTGGTACTTGGGTCTACTCCTCAGTTCAACCTCTAAAGATTCAATTCTTTCGAGGAGCTACCTTTCGCACAGGTTGAACCTGTACTTTAACTTATCCATCCCATTCGTTGCATACTTACCTTCAGCTATTCGCCTGCCTCCGCCTCACAAGTTACTGACTAGAACAACCCAAAATCACTACGATGGAAGCCAACGAAGATCGTTCTGAGGCGTCCCCCATTTTCGACGCGTTCGATATTGACTTGGTGGTCAAGGTCGTTATGCACACGATTCTTAGTGGGTACTATTTCATACTGCCAGCAGCAATCACTAATATCAGTTTAGGCCCGTTCTTCACGTTCTTCATTCCGGTATTTTACTACTTCCAGGGGATCCGATGGGATAACCCAGTCCTGGTGGGATCGACCGCATATGTCATTGCCGTGTCCGCTTTTTGTAAGCCTCCAATACTCTGACATTGGCACATCTGACACAATGAGATTTGCCATCATATTTTACAGGGTTCCTGAAATGGTGTTCTACGTTGTATAGGAACCAAGGGAGCCTGCTCTTTGCTTCTCCCCGTCTGGATTGGGGCGAGCAGATTGTCGTGATCACAGGTGGTGCGTATAGTTTCATGCGCTAGAGTGTGAGTGAGATCTTAACACTCTACTAAGGTGCATCGGGAATTGGAGAACTGATCGCCAACACTTGTGCTGTCCGCAACGTCACGGTCGTCGTATTGGATGTCAAGCCGATCGTTACCGAAAATTGTACGAAATTATGTCTAGAAGTGTTACGGTTTTGACGCCATTGAGCTTAGACAACATCAGCTATTACAAGTGTGATGTGTCCAACTGGGAAGAAGTGCAGGCGGTTTCAAAGAGGATTATTGAGGAGGTGCGTATAGAGGGGGGGAAGGAAGCTTAACATGTTCCAAATTTCATGGATTGCATTTATAAGATTGGCCACCCAACAATTCTCATCAACAACGCGGGTGTTGTACAAGGAAAGCTGCTGGTTGACTTGACACCCGATGATATCAAACAGTATGTGGGCCTCTCTCAAAATTGAATGTTTGGTCAGCCTATAACTCCATACGATGCTCAGGACATTCTCGGTGAATACACTTGCCCACTATTGGACCCTAAAGGCATTCTTGCCGGGAATGATCGAGCAGAAGAAAGGTCATATTGTGAGCGATATATGATTTGGTTGATGGGCGCTGCTGAGATCATGTTTAGGTCACTGTGTCTTCGGTGGCGGGTATGGTTGGTATGGCTCAGATGAGTGAGTCCTGTGTCCCAGTTATGAAACGTGTGGTTTTTGATTGCGATCATGTTTACAGCCGACTACAATGCTTCAAAGGCCGCTCTCATTTCCCTCAACGAATCGTTGCGCTATGAGCTGGATCACAAGTACAAGACTCCAGGAATCCGAACCACGCTCCTAGTTCCCGGGCATATTCTCACACCTTTGTTCTCGAAAGCGGGTATCCCGACGCAGTGGTGGTACCGTTTCTTGGTGCCGAGCTTGCCTCCTGTGACTATTGCAAAGGCTGTAATTACGGCCCTGGACGATCAATATTCGCGCACCATCTACCTACCCTTCTACGTGAACTTTGTACCTTTCCTTGGGTTGATGCCGAGTTTCGTCAGGGACATCGGTCAATGCGTGAGTAACCCTGCATCCGGAGTGTCTAAGGCAATTTAAATTGAGATTTTCGCTGGCAGCTCTCTGGATGTGATTATATCATGGACGGATTCGTCAAGGTTTCTGGACGTCGTGCGGAGGAGGGATCAGCTGCTGTCGCGCTGGAGAAGTCCTGATTTACCGAGATCGGCTTCTGTGCTGTCTGTAATAGTAGATGGGTACTTTCTTGCAATATCACTACGCAGAGGCGTTTACCTGGCCAGACTACTTTTGTGCATCGAAGGCTGAAGTTGGGCGTCGACGCGGCCCCCCAAAATGGCAAGCAAGGTGAGTGACGGATGCACTCTCTTCTAGCCACGAGCCAGTCTTACGATCTTGTGTCACAGCAGGCTTCTCGATGCGAGGATGCCTCTGACCGGTGGGCGTATCTGTCGGCCCTGTCTGGCCGTGTGCTCACCTCTTGAGTGGAAATTCGTTGAGGTAAAGGTGCGAGTGCTCGCGGACGAGCAAGCCAGAGTCAGAATCCGTCAAAGACACGTGCTACAGCGGCGAGCAATGTCCAGGTTTGGTCTTAGCCCTGACTGGCAGGAGTGAGTGTCGGCCGCTCGGCAGGGGCTGGCTGTCGTCCAGATACAAATACTGCCCGTGCGCCCCAGTGTGCCTCGCCTTTGGTTCGACTCTTTCCTTACGCTTTCCTTCTCCCGGGCTAGTCCTGAAACCGTGTTGACACTATGGCTCCTGCGCATGCTATCATCGGCGACGCTATGGCAAACGTTTTCAAGATCTCGCTCTTTAATAAACGTCGTTCGTCATCTCGCTCGGAGTCTAGGTCCCGCAGTGGATCGACGGCCACCTCCAGAGCAACTTCACCTGAACCGCGGGTCGGTTCAAATGTCTTGAAAAGGAGTTCGAGGGTTGCTGCTCTCGAAAACAAATTTGCATCATCCAACATGGAGGTATGTGGCTGACTATGCATGCGCCCAAAGCTAGGACGGCTAACGTTCTCGGCATGTAAGGGTTCTGCAAACGCTAGCCCCGATTGCGTATGTTATTGATCTTGACAATGTGGTCGTATATTGACTGCCATATCGTAGACGCAGGATGCATCCTCTGGCAATCTCGTTGGTGAAAACAGCGCGCCTGACAACCTTTGCAAGGTTGCGGAATCTGCGGATTTCGTCAAAAGCGACTCCTACATGCTGGAAGCAATCGTCGAGCAGTCTCATAGTGATGTCAATGGACAGCTCAAGGCCCTTGCCGAACTAGAGGATAGTTCGCGTGCCGAGTTTGGTGCACTGACGCAGAGCGACTCAGAGCAGGACATCTTTTATGAAGCATTCAGTGCGCCCCCCGCCATAGAAACGCAGCCGCATATATCCAGCGACCTACCCGTCGCTCACTCCTCTACAGCAGCTTTCATAGAGGCCGTATCATCTGCTTCGGCTGCAGCGCTGCAACCTGAGCTCGACGAATCGGATGAAAAATGGGAGGTCGAATTTTCTGCTTCCTCTTTCTCTGTCTGTGACAGTTGCTCGCACGACGCTAGTGTTGCTGTGCCCAACGTATCGACCATTCTCGGATTTCCACCTACGGTATCAAGCATCGAAGCAAGTGCGTGTCCATCATCAAGCCAGAACGAAGGTGCTTCTTCGAGCCTGTCAGCCTCCGCGCCCAAACAAGATGCTTCTTGTGTTTGCCCTCTCACTTCCTTTGGCTCTACATGTTCTCAGCCACCAAAGGGTCCCTCTCCTCTTTCTGCCGCGCCGGACGCTCTGTTATGTTTATCATCAGCATCCCGCGCTTCAGTGTGGTCTTTATCAGAGCCTGCACTTTCTGTTGGTTCTACTACGCCTACTGCAATAGATGCTATACGCTCGTCGCATATTCCGGACGCTACTCCCTTCGCAACAGCTAATGCGGAGTCCGCTGAAGTCGCTGGAGCGGGTGGGCAGGAAGTTGTGACCAGTGCGACCACTTTGCATGCCGGAGAAAATACCATAGAGCCGCTTGGAATTCCCTTGCCTTCGACATATGCCGAAGCCACGAATGTAGGTGTCCTGTATGGTCACTTAAAGATGCATTTAACAGCTGTTTTACTATCACAGCTCGCTTTTCAATTCCCAGAGCTTTCGGAGCAGATACTCAAACTACCTCTGCCGTGGTCAAAAGACCGAGTAGCTGAAGGAAGTGACGATAGTTCAGCATCTGTCAGTGCATCGACCTCAACCTCCTCTACCCCCGTTGGCGAATGCTTTCGAAAGAGAGGAAGATCGAGGGGCCCAGTACACACAGACGATGAGCCGAATTGGGCGCTAGCTCCGGATTCTCCAAGACGTCAGCCTCGGCCTACGCAACGGGGTCGCGGGCGTGGCCGGGGTAAAGGGAGGGGAAGGGGTTGTCGGTCTCGCGCCGGTAGCAGCAGCCGAGAGCAAAGTACAAGCCGCGATCAAAGTATAAGTCGGGACTATAAAGCTACCGGCGCTGGCTCGACTTTGCGCGCAAAACCAGTGTTCTCAGCCCAGATTAGCTCAGACAAACTGGTCGACTCGCTGGGGGCGCAGGTAGCTGTTGAGTCATTGATTGAGACGATGAAAGTCAAGCGAACGTCGAATATGCTAGTGGCAATGGCGCATGATCTTCCTGAGGCCCCCCAGAAAGCTACCATATTGGCGCAGGATACGTCTTCTATCCTTCAGTGCACTGACCCTAGTGCAGCACCGGCTAGCATGTCCGCCGTCGCTCCGGAGTTTGTCCCTACTCAAGTTCGCGCCCGCCTTCTTACTACCGGATTGGGCGACGAGAGTGCATTCCATGCAAACCCTACAATCCCAGCGACCATTTCTCCTGCTCACAAGGGAACCTATCTCAACGCTCCATTGCGTCCAACTGCTACCTCGAGTTTCCAGCCATGTAACACAGCTAGCGCAGGTCCACCAATCCTAGTCAGCCTTCCACCGCCAACTCGCGTTCAACTCCCGCCTGATGCGAACGAGGACGGTACAATCGAGAGTGGGGAGATCCTGTATAGTACGAGCGGTTCTCCCGCTGTGAGTACTCCGTTCGCGCCTTCACGATCAGCTTCGGGTACACCGCCGCGAGAATACGACCTTCAGTTGTCCAGCAGAATTAAGAAGAGTTCAGGCACAACGCGATCAACGGTGAGTCTTAAGGATAGCCGCCAAAACCTTTGTGACATCCTTGGTGCGTTCCGAGCGGAAGGGTTGTCGGCACATCCTCTGCTTCCCCTTGCCGCCGCATGTCAACCCGCAAATCAACCTGTCTCGATAATTCCTGAAGATCTAATGGTCACTCTGAAACGGAGGTTAAAAGTGGTGGAGGCGGCGCAGGTTGCTCTGCACAACATAACTGAGGATGTCCGTATCCCAGACAGTTCGATTGGCTTTCATAGCTCTACCCAGCCGTCGTTACTTCATCTCAATTCAGCCGCCGAAGCGGTGGTCAGCCCTAAGGTCTCGATCCCATCGTCAGGGACGCCCACGAAATCCACTCTCGAGGTGAACATCTTTCATGGGGGGCAGACGCCTACTAATACCCCTGCGCCATCGGCTTTCTGTCCGCCGCGGACCGAAGCAGGATGGTTGATCGACGAGTACGGTATGCTAAAGCGGGGCGGTGCTAAGGACACCCTCGACCCTCCGCAATGCGGTGCCTCTACCCCTTCCGTTTGGCCTCGCGCCGAGGATCGCGTTGATTCCCCCTCATGGCGCACTAGATCTCCTAGCGCACGTCCCAGTTCCTCGCGTCAATCGCCGTCGCCATCTCCAGTGCGATTCGGCAAAAAAGAAGGAATAAGAGGTTCAAAGCACGCGCCTTATTCTCCGACGGGACCATCACGTCTCCGCCGCGAGACCAGCACCCGCTTGATGCCTTCTGCGAGCCAGGATTCTGTGGTGTCGACATCCGCGAAGCGCGAGACAGTGACTGCGGTAGGAACAAATCGGCCGCAAAGTGGCCACCAGAAGACAATCACTGGGCCTATACCCACAGTGGGTCTGGCTCATGTGCGTTCGATGGCACAGATGCGGTGAGCCAATGCATCCGGGGCCACAGGCGATTGGGCTTGTTGAGAGGATGGTCAGTTAGCTGTAGTTTCATGGAGTCGACCTTCTGCGTATTTATGTTCCTAGCGTACATTTGTGTTCTGTTCATTAGAGTAGTCGATTTGTTGAATGAGTATACGATTGTTTCTCCGACGATACCTGAAGATCGATAATTCTGTCGCAAATTTTGTGAACGGTATCCCTGTGTATTGACAGGGTAAGAGGAGAAACAGACAATATCACCATCTGAATATAGTACGTACGTATTGAGACTGCGCGGCAGACTTTTGGTGTGCACCTTCCCGTTGTGCCAAAGTATGTTTTACCTGTTGTTAACGTCCTCCTGCCTAAAGCTGTCGTATATTCATATCTCTCAGTCAGAAGCTGACATGCTTCTTACAACATGTGAATATTCCAAGTGTATTGGCTGAAGACAGAGCGCAAAAGGCGGATGGAGAACCGTTGCTGGTCAATGAATGACAGCCTAGTCGGCCCTCAAGTTTCTCGTGTCTCAGTGTGATGCACTCAGCAAATTACCAAATGTACAATGCCGGAGTCTCCTGTGAGTAGAGTAAATACTTCCTTTAACCTTCGCTCTTGCAGGCTCTGGATGTCCGTATCTGCCAAGTACTGTCGTCTGATGGTCCCCCGCTGTAGGAATGCGCGCATGTGGGAGAATTATACACAAAACGTACCGTAAGCATAGCGGTTCCTAGTCCTTCACCTCATCCTTTGATCTAGGATTCAAAATGCTTCTTTTCATGTTCGAAATTTGGAAAATCGGCATCGTGTTCCGGCGAACCGTGACTCACTTTGTACAGATTCTAAGATATACCTCGAGCAGTTTCGACTACATCACATGATCAAGAAGCGTCACGCTTACACTGCTTTGAGTGGCGAACAATCGTAAAAAACGATAGGCTCAGGATGTAGCAACTAACCGAATGTTTGGCCACGGACAAAACCGTGGCCGAATTTTAATATAGGTTCGCGTTCACAAGTAGATACATGATTTGTGCGGCTGAAACAGCACATATACTTATGTAATTATATAGTTACACTCATCAAGCAGGCATTATACGATAGCTTATCGCATTAGACGCTAGCACTGTATTACCTGCATTATGATTTTTGGGAAGGCGGGTGCGCGAGAAACGGGATCTGGTGCGATCCTCGATTAGCT